AGACTCCCATCTAAGAAAAAAATTCATCCTAGGGATTCTTTTACCTATAAAGTTTTCTAAATATTTTAAGTATGTTGTGTTTTCTGAAGTTGAAGTTTAGTTTTATTGAATATGATATCCCAATTTAAGTGAAAGGAATTCTGAGGAAGTAGAGCGGTGAGCATGTAGGTCATGCTTTTCTATTTTTAAAGAAATGTCTAGTAAATAGGTAAACAGATACTGAACTTCATTAGTCATGAAGGAAATGTAAATTGCAATAAGAGTGTATTTTACTTATAAAATTATGATAATTTTGACACTGATCTATTCTAACGTTGATGAGGATTTGAGGAAAGGGCATACACATATTCTGTTGTGGGAGTATACATTTGTATGCTAGTTTTCAGGGATGCTTTTGGAGGTAAAATTTGAATACATAATAGTTTTTTTTTTTTTGGGATGGAGTCTTGCTCTGTTTCGCAGGTTGGAGTGCAATGGTGCCATCTCGGCTCACTGCAGCCTCCACCTCCCAGATTCAAGTGATTCTCCTGCCTCAGCCTCCCAAGTAGCTTTGACTACAGGCACCTGCCACCACACCCAGCTAATCAGATACATATAGTTCTGACCTGTATTAGAGAATTACCTGTACAGATGCATACAGTTATATGTCTGTTATCTCCAGGAACGTTCAGCATTATTTGTGAGAACTGAAAGTGGAGCCAAGCCAGCTGTTAATGTTGGTTGAATAAATATGTCCGTATTATAATAATTTACTGCATTGTTGTTATGTTATTATTTTTGAGACAGTCTTCCTCTGTTGCCAGGCTGGAGTGCAGTGGCTTGATCTCAGCTCACTGCAGCCTCTGCCTCCTGGGTTCAATTGATTCTCCTGCCTTAGCCTCCCAAGTAGCTGGGACTACAGGCATGCGCCACTACACCTGGCTAATTTTTGTATTTTTTTCATCTTTTATTGCCTATATTTTGTTTTTCTATGTATCATTAATTCTTAAAAATTAAGCTTTTGAATGTCATTGGATATTTATTAGGCTTCAAAGATCTTGATGGAGAAGTCTTAGTTGACTGCCAGTTTCTTAAGCTGGGTGTAAGACTGGGGTGCAGCGCACACTGGTTTAGTGTGAGCAGTGATCACTAAGCATATGAGCCACAGCCACCCCAGCTTTACCTCATTCACAGGCAGAACTGGAAGGTTGGTCCTGGATGGCTGCTTGGTCCTGGATGCTTTTAGTGGTCTCTTGATTGTGGAAAGCCTTGTTTTGGAACAAATGTTTCCATTGATACAGATGAGAAATGCCTCTTTAATATTTTTATAAACCATTTAGAACCCAATAGATTTGGTTTGTGAGTCACTCTCTTCTGAGTACCAAAGGATTTCATGGTTGGAAGGTGCGCCTTTTCGTCTTGGCAATGAGCAGCATTTAATGGAGAGACCATGCTTGTATTTGGTTTTTTTTTTTTTTTTTTTGGTTCATTTACAGAATCTGAGACTTATTCAAACCACCAGCTGTATTATCAGGAAGGAACAAATCCAAGTTTTGACATATTGTCAGTGTGCTGCATGTTGTATTTTCAAATTCCTTAAGTGGTTTCAACATTAGATGACCAGTTCTTTGGCACTGATGTGGTTTTGACAATGTACAGTAGATCTGACCATAGCTCTGAAAAGTCTGGCTGGCATTACCACATCCCAAGCTCTCTGCCTGAAGAGAAGGAAGCGCCAGGCTTGCACGCTTACTCGGCTGGACTGCAGGGAAAGAGCTGCAGCACCAGCCTCTCACTACTGCAGCCACCCTCTCTCCTAATTTTTGTATTTTTAGTAGAGACGGGGTTTCGCCATGTTGGCCAGGATAGTCTCAATCTCTTGACCTTGTGATCCGCCTACCTTGGCCTCCCAGAGTGCTGGGATTATAGGCGTGAGCCACCGTGCCCGGCCAATTTACTGCATTATAAAGAGTGGAATAAGACTTTATTTTTATTTTTTTATTTTTTAGACAGAGTCTCTGTCGCCCAGGCTGGAGTGTAGTGACACGATCTCAGCTCACTGCAAACTCCGCACCCCGGGTTCAAGTGATTCTCTTGCCTCAGCCTCCTGAGTAGCTGGGATTACAGGCATGTGCCACCACACTTGGCTAATTTTTGTATTTTTAGTAGAGATGGAGTTTCACCATGTTGGCCAGGCTGGTGTAGAACTCCTGACCTCAAGTGATCCACCTGCTTTGGCCTCCTGAAGTGTTGGGATTGCAGACGTGAGCCACCGTCCCCAGCTTGGAATAAAACTTCTGTGAACTGACATGAAGAGATGGCATTTATAATGAGGGAGAAATTCTCGTAATGTGATTGGTTGTAGAAAAATAAAAATTATTAGTTTGTAGAAAGGTATTAAGAAGAGCACAGCAGTAGATACCAAACTGTTGGGATTGGGGACAAGGAAGTGGAAGACTTACACTTTTTGTGTTTTCTCTTTTTATGTTTCTGTAAAACATAAAAGACAAAATAGTAGAGAGAAGTATTTGTTTTTTTTTGGGTTTTTTTGTTTTTTGAGACGGAGTCTGGTGCTGTGTCACCCAGGCTGGAGTGCAGTGGCGCGATCTCGGCTCACTGCAAGCTCTGCCTCCCAGGTTCACGCCATTCTCCTGCCTTAGCCTCCGAGTAGCTGGGACTACAGGCGCCCGCCACCACGCCCGGCTAGTTTTTTGTATTTTTAGTAGAGACGGGGTTTCACCATGTTAGCCAGGATGGTCTCGATCTCCTGACCTCGTGATCCACCCGCCTCGGCCTCCCAAAGTGCTGGGATTACAGGCTTGAGCCACCGCGCCCGGCCGTTTTTTTGTTTTTTTGAGATGGAGGTTCGCTCTTGTTGCCCAGGCTGAAGTGCAATGGTGTGATCTTGGCTCGCTGCAACGTCCACCTCCCTGGTTCCAGCGATTTTCCTGCCTAAGCCTCATGTGTAGCTGGGATTACAGGCATGCGCCACCATGCCCGGCTAATTTTGTATTTTTAGTGGAGATGGGGTTTCTCCACGTTGGGTAGACTGGTTCTAAACTCCCAACCTCAGGTGATCTGTCTGCGTCGGCCTCCCAAAGTGTTGGGATTACAGGTGTGAGCCACCGCGCCTCCCCAACCCTGTTTCTTAAAAAAAAAAAAAAAAAGTGTGTTGCTGAAAATAAAGTTGGAGGTGAAAAAAATTTTTTTTTTTTTTTCAGACAGGGTCTTGCTCTGTCCCTCAAGCCATCCTCCTGCATCAGCCTCCCAAGTAGTTGGGACCATAGGTACGCACTGCCATGCTTGGCTGATTTGGAAATTTTTTTTAATACTAAAAATGCTAATATTTAAATATTAACATTAAATGCCAATATTTAACAAAATGACAGAGTTTTCTTTAACATGACAAACTAAGTGAAACAGTTAAATATGTTCTTCTTTTTTCTTTTTCTTTTTCTTCCCACCCCGAGACAGAGTCTTGCTCTGTCACCCAGGCTGGAGTGCAGTGGATTACAAGTGATTCTCTTGCCTCAGTCTCCCGAGTAGCTGGGATTATAGGCGCACACCACCATGCCCTGCTTATTTATTTGTTTATTTTTTGTATTTTTAGTAGAGATAGGGTTTCACCATGTTGGCGAGGCTGGTCTTGAACTCCTGACCTCAGGTGATGCATGCTCTTTGACCTCACCAAGTGCTGGGATTACAGGCGTGAGCCACTGCAACCAGGCTGTTCTTAAACTTTAAAAAATAAAATGCCAGCTTCTGATTCTTCAGTTTTGATTCAAGAATGGTTACAAGGTTTACTTTTAAGTTTTTTAAAAAAACTATTGACCTTTTTTTTCCCTCTTGTCAAAAGTTGTATGTTCTCTTTGTATTTGAATGGTTACTATATGACTGGAAGTCAGAAGTTTATTTCCCCCTACTGAGATGTATAGTTTATGAGCCCATTTGCCTCTTAGGAAGTGGCCAGCATTGAAGCAACAAATACAATGTAACTTGGTACCTTTAGTTTTTAGGATTCTGATAGATACAAGAAAAACGGACTGCGTGCGGTGGCTCAGGCCTGTAATCCCAGCATTTTGGGAGGCTGAGGCAGGCGGATCACGAGGTCAGGAGATCGAGACCATCTTGGCCAACATGGTGAAACCCCGTCTCTACTAAAAATACAAAAATTAGCCGGGCGTGGTGGTGCACGCTTGTAATTCCAGCTACTCAGGAAGGTGAGGCAGGAGAATTGCTTGAACCCGGGAGGCGGAGGTTGCAGTGAGCGCAGATTGCGCCATTGCACTCCAGCCTGGCGACAGAGCAAGACTCCGTCTCAAAGAAAAAAAAAAGGCCAGGCATGGTGGCTCACGCCTGTAATCCCAGCACTTTGGGAGGCCGAGGAGGGCGGATCCCTTGAGGTCAAGAGATGGAGACCATCCTGGCGAACATGGTGAAACCCCGTCTCTACTGAAAATACAAAAATTAGCTGGGCGTGGTGGTACAGTCCTGTAGTCCCAGCTACTTGGGAGGCTCAGGCAGGAAAATTGCTTGAACCTGGGAGGCAGAGGTTGCAATGAGCGGAAATGGCGCCACTGCACTCTAACCTGTCCACAGAGTGAGAGTCCGTCTCAAAAAAACAAAACAAAACAAAAAAAGAATGTATCAGAACACTTAAAAAACTATTAGATACCCATCTGGATTCTCAGTTTGATCTAAAAAGATTCGTTTGTTTGGTATTTAATTTTTGGATATTAACTGAACCTGAAAATTTTTTTCTTCCTTTGTATGTATTCCTACATGATTGTAGGAGTCTATCCTGAACTTGGATCATGTACATTTTGGAAACTTATTTTAGAAAAAATTTAAGTTGTAAGAATTCTCAATGAACAGACAGAAAACAGGGTCTTTGCCAACTTCTTTGGGTAAGAAAAGTTCAGAATTTTGCAGATACTCTAAAAATGAAAGTCAGCAAAGAAGGCATAATAAAATTGTGAAGTTTTCAAATAAAATGATTTGTCATGTCCTTTTTTCTTTAGACTGCTGCAGTAAGAATGTCTTTTCCCCCTCATTTGAATCGCCCTCCCATGGGAATCCCAGCACTCCCACCAGGGATCCCACCCCCGCAGTTTCCAGGATTTCCGCCACCTGTACCTCCAGGTAAGTTTGTTGATACTGTTTTTTGTCGTTAAACTTGTACTTTTGTCTTTGTGATATTAACTTCAGGAAAATGTTAGATATGTGACTGTTAGTGAAGATGCCTCTCAGCATCGTTTGGAAAATGTGGATGTCTCTTTTTCCTATAGCAGTAGCTTTTATATCTGACTGAGGATCAAACTCATCTACAAAGTTTTTTTTTTTCCCTCATCTGGAAAGTTTTTTTAAAATTCTTTTTTTTTTTATTTTTTGAGATAGAGTCTTGCTCTGTCACCCTGGCTGGAGTGCAGTGGCATGATCTCAGCTCATTGCAACCTCCACCTCCTAGGCTCAAGCAATTCTCTGTCTCAGCCTCCTGAGTAGCTGGGGTTACACATGCCTGCCATCATGCCTGGCTAAGTTTTGTATTTTTGGTAGAGACAGGGTTTCGCTATGTTGGCCAGGCTGGTCTCGAACTCCTGGCCTCAAATGATCCGCCTGCCTCTGCCTCCCAAAGTGTTGGAATTACAGGTGTGAGCTACTATGTCCGGCCTAAAAATTCTGTATTTAAAAAAATGGGTAATACATACACATTGTTCTGAAACAAACAAAAAATACAGAAAGTAATACAGTGAAAAATTTTCCTCATATACCCCCATAACTGCTGTTGCTATCCCCTTACTAAAAAGGGAAGCAATAAGGTTATTAGTTTTTTCTTTATTTTTCCAGATACTTTAAAGTGTATATTATAAGTCAATATAAGTAAAGATTTATGGAGTTAAAAAAAAAATGTTCAGACCCTGCTCCAACCCCCTGAATCAGATCCTCAGAAATTGGGGCTCAGGAATCTTAATTTTTAACACGTTCACAGGTAATTTTTGGCACTCATTTAAGCATGGAGAATCCACATTTGAGAACTATTATCCTGAAGTACCTAGTTAACATTGCTTATGCTGGGTGTGATTGTGTGTGTCTGTTGTCCTGGCTACTCAGGAGACTGATGTGGGAGGATGGCCTGAGCCCAGGAGTTCAAGTCCAAAGAGTGAGACCTCATCTTTGAAAAAATGATTATCTTTGCTTGTAAGAAATTTTTCTTTTGACTTAAGAACATTGCAGTTGGCTGGCTCATAATGGGTTGTTAATTCATAGCATGTATGTTACGGGGGTTGTAATAAACAGCACATTTGTCTTTATTTTGTGTGTGTGCACGTGTGTGTATGTGTGTTTTGAGGACTCACTTTGTTGCCAGACTGGAGTACAGTGGCGTGATCATGGCTTACTGCAGCCTTGACCTCCTGGGCTCCCATCTCAGCCCTCCTGAGTAGCTGGGACCACAGGCTTGTGTCACTATATACTGTTAATTAAAAATTAAAAAAAAAAAATTTTATAAAGATGGAGGTCTCACCATCTTATCCAGGCTGGTCTTGAACTTCTGGGCTCAAAGTATACTCCCACCTCAGCCTTCCAAAGTTCTGGGATTACAGATGTGAGCCACTGCACCTGACCTTGTCTTTATTTTGGATTTAACTACTCATTGTAAAATTTTGAATTTACTACCATAGGCTCAGCTTTGGGAGCCTTCTACCCTTGGGTCTGAAAAGCCACAAGATAAATATGAGAATTTCTGTGGAATATTATTTAGTACTTCAAGAATTGGGGGAAAATCATAATTAAAAAAAAATCAGGCCTGGCACAGTGGCTCATGCCTGTAACCTCAGCACTTTAGGAGGCCAAGGTGGGTGGATCACCTGAGGTCAGGAGTTCGAGACCAGTCTGGCCAACATGGGGAAATTCTAAAAATACAAAAAATTAGCCAGGCGCAGTGGCTCAGGCCTGTAATCCCAGCTACTCAGGAGGCTGAGGCAGGAGAATCGCTTGAACCTGGGAAGCCGAGGTTGCAGTGAGCCGAGATCATGCCACTGCACTCCATCCTGGGCAACAAGAGTGACACTTTGTCTCAAAGGGGAAAAAATCAGAACAACTGTTTATGCTTGTGTATTATGGAACAGAATGCAGTACTTTCTTTTTTTTTTTTTTTTTTTTTGAGACGGAGTCTCGCTGTGTCGCCCGGGCTGGAGTGCAGTGGCCGGATCTCAGCTCACTGCAAGCTCCGCCTCCCGGGTTTACGCCATTCTCCTGCCTCAGCCTCCGAGTAGCTGGGACTACAGGCGCCCGCCACCACGCCCGGCTAGTTTTTTGTATTTTTAGTAGAGACGGGGTTTCACCATGTTAGCCAGGATGGTCTCGATCTCCTGACCTCGTGATCCACCCGCCTCGGCCTCCCAAAGTGCTGGGATTACAGGCTTGAGCCACCGCGCCCGGCCAGAATGCAGTACTTTCATAAGTTATTTTAGACATGCTTGTAGTGGAGCTGCTTTAAGCTGTGCTTCTAGATAATCATGGATATGTATTTGTTATCATCTGCTGCCAGAGGAGTAATGTGAAAGTTTACACTACTACTTTACTCCGTGTAACAATTACTGATTTTAAGAAGTAACTTACTTGTTTTATAATGGACCATGAATAGATGAAATGCTGCTGGAAGGCTGTGGCTGGCCCTTTGGACAAAATTTTTTCCTTAAAAGAAATAAATTTTGCTGAAAGGAAATTCTGTTGAGAAAATTGAGAGAATGTTGCAGAAAACTGAATAAAGTTATCAGCCATCAAACATTAATAGTTATAGAAGGAAAGTGTTTTGAACAACTTTCATTTGGGCATCAGTTTTCTCTTTGGTCCATATATCCTGATTTTCTTCATACATTTATAGGCTCATAGTGCAGATCTGGATTTTAATTTTTAGTTTATTAATTTTTTTGAGACAGGATCTCTCTTTGTCACAGTGGCACAACCATAACTTAATGCGGCCTCTATCTTCTGGGCTCAGCTGATCCTCCTGCCTCAGCCTCCTGAGTAGCTGAGACTATAGATGTGTGCCACCATGCCTGACTCAGATCCGTTTTTCAATGGGCCTTACTATAACCATGATGCAAAGCCCAAGTGTTCTAGAAGTTACAGGCTGGGCATGGTGGCTCATACCTGTAATCCCATCACTTTGGGAGGCTGAGGCAGGAGGATCTCTTGAACCCAGAAGTTCAAGATCAACCTGGACAACATAGGGAAGAAAGACCCTGTCTTGTGGGGAGGTGGGGGGGTGGCATTGCAGGAAGCTTAATCACTTGTTTAGAATCAAAAAGGATGGTTATGGAGAATTTGTGCTTTAATTTCCTTACCAGTAGATTGGGTTTATAGAAAAGATTTTAAATTTTTGAATTTTTTTTTTTTTGGCTTTTTTTGAGAGAGTCTTACTCTGTCGCTGGAGTACAGTGGCGCCATTACAGCTCACTGCAGCCTCCGCCTCCTGGGTTCAAGTGATTCTCCTGACTCAGTCTCCCTAGTAACTGGGGTTATGAGTGTGTGCCACCATGCTCGGCTAATGTTTGTATTTTCTGTAGAGATGGGGTTTTGCCATGTTGGCTCAAGTGATCTGCCTGTCTTGGCCTCCCAAAGTGTTTGGATTATGGGTGTGAGCTACCGTGTCGCCCTACTCTCAGCCTTTTTTTTTTTTTTAATAAAGAATTAGAGTTTTGCTATGTTTCCTAGGCTGGAGTGCAGTGGTTTTACACAGGCACGATGATAGCACACTGCAGCCTTGAACTCCTGGGCTCAGGGATCCTTGTCCCTCAATTTCCAGAGTAGCTATAACTACAAGCAAGATTTTATTTATTATTATTATTTTTGGGACAGAGTCTTGCACTTGTTCCCCAGGCTGGAGTGCAATGGCATGATCTTGGCTCACTGCAACCTCTGCCTCCCAGGTTCAAGCAATTCTCCTGCCTCAGCCTCGCATGTAGCTGGGATTACAGGCACGCACCAGTATGCCCGGCTAATTTTTGTATTTTTAGTAGAAATGGGGCTTCACCATGTTGGTCAGGCTGGTCTTAAACGCCTGACCTCAGGTGATTTACTCATCTTTGCCTCCCAAAGTGCTGGGGTTACAGGCGTGAGCCACTGCGCCCAGCCCATGATTTTTGTTTTCTGTGAAAGAACCAGGATTCTCCTTAGATTTCCACATAAATTTTTCACTTGATGCTTAAAATAACTTTCAAAGGATTTGTTTTTACTTTATTTATTTGAGAAAAATTTATGTTTATCGTGCACAGCGTCTTGAAATAACGTATATGTTGTAGAATGACTAAATTGAGCCAATTAACACGTGGTGTATTACTTTACATACTTATTTTTTTGCTGTTGTGAGAACACTCTAGATTTTAAATGTAGATTTTCTTTTGGTCATTTTCAAGAATATAGTACACCATTACTGACGGTATCACCATGTTGTACCATGTGTCTTACTTTTTTTTTTGGTCTTTTTTTTTTTTCCTTTTTTGTGGAAAATGGGGTCTCACTATATTGCCCAGGCAGGTCTCGATCTCCTGAGCTTAATCTATCCCCCCACCTGTGCCTTCCTAAGAGTTGCAATTACAGGCGTGAGCCACCGCGCTGGCTGTTTTTACTTTTAAAGGATTCTTTAATATCATTGTTCACCTATAAGTCAGTCTGTATTGGTGAAAGGCGTTGGTTTTGAGGATCACTGAACCATATGAACCCGAATAGATAACTGTCCAGAATTTTATGCTCTTTAAGTCAAAAGCATATTGAGGTGGCCAGTTTGTTTTCAAAATAGTCTTTTTTTGTAAGTTTATATGGACCAACCTGATAGCACATTCCTTTTGAAAATAAGGTAGTATTTATCAGTATTTCATTTTCATTTGTCCTATATTTCCACTTATGTTAATTATGAGTAAGGATACTTAATTGTGTGGCATGTTGTTGATAGAGAATGCAGTCATATAAAATCAGTGTGGTTTTTCTTTTTTTAGGGACCCCAATGATTCCTGTACCAATGAGCATTATGGCTCCTGCTCCAACTGTAAGTATAACTTAAAGGAAGAGTCATGAGTTATGGTAGTGCCAGTGCTTTTAAGCTAAACAGTGTGATAAACTTAAATACATTATGAGTATTTAAAAGAATAACAAGGACAGAATGAGAGCACCCTGTATAGCATATCATTTATTTGAATAAGTATCATTTTCACTTAGGTGTGCATGTATGCAGTTGCACCTGCAATGTGCTCCCTAAGTAGATAATTCTGTGATTTTCCTGTTATTCTCTAGACTCTTCATATACTTGTTATTACAGATTTAGGGCTTTGGCTCTTCATTGCTTTCTCATCTTGGTCCTGGGAGATGGGAGAAGGATGTGACATGTCTGATCTCTTAAAAGAACATAGGAATGATCCTTGTAAAAATTAAAATTTTGAAATGAAATTTGTGTGGAGTACCTTTTACACGTTTCCTCCTAGCTTCCTAATTTTTCACCCTTTCCAAGCGATTTTTATCTTAGTTTTCTCTGTCTTCTAGTGTGGTATGTTCAAGCTTTGTAAGACTTTACTAAAACCTTTCTTCTGCTGAAATGCTCTCATTCATTATTTTCTTCTTGAACCTTAATTGAATGTGGAGAACCTTAATTCTCCACATTCATCAAATCTTCTGAGCATTAAAAGCACCTTTGTTAAGAATGCTGCTGTACTGTAGCACATGAATAGATAATAACTCTCAACTTTTATTTGGAATTCTATGAGGGAGGGTAGGTCTCTTTATTTTCAGTGTCTTTTAATATCTGGGTTTTGAAAAGGGATGAGGGCTGTTATTCTTGGTAAAAGGGAGAGAGGAATTACGTGGGCAAATGAGAACCTGCTGTGAGGCCGACCACTAAGAAGATGTGGTTCTGCAGCCAAAGGGGAGTTCAGCTTTTCTTGCCTTGGACACCAAGAGTTGGGCCATGTTTGAAAGCCTCAGGCATGTACTCTTCCTCCTTGTATTTCAGGCTAGAGAAAGCTAGAATTTAGGAGTGGAGCAGCTCTCCCATTTCACCACTGTTTATTCGGTGCCTCCTGAGGGTGCTTGCTGAATTCAGTGTCAAGTACAAAGATGTATTTCTTCCCCGGGAAAGTTGAACGTCATGAAGGGAAAATGAGATAGCATAAATAACTGATAAAAGGCAAAATATGGGGGAGAGTGCTGTGGAGTATTTGAATATTCTGCTAGAGGATTAGCATGGATAATTGAAAGTTGCTTTTATATTAGTACTGAGAGTAAAATTATGAAAAAAACTTCTGGATATATTTGATAATTTTAAATGTTTTATGTATTTTTTTGTTGGGTTGGGGGGTGGTGGGGCAGTGGGGCGGAGTTTCTCTCTTGTTGCCTAGGCTGGAGTGCAATGGTGGCATGGCTCACTACATCCTCTGCCTCCTGGGTTCAGCGATTCTCCTGCCTCAGCCTCCCGAGTAGCTGAGCTTACAGGTGTGCGCCACCACGCCCGGCCAATTTTTTATATTTTTAGTAGAGACGAGGTTTCACTTTGTTGGTTAGACTGGCCTCAGGTGATCCGTCTGCCTTGACCTCCCAAAGTTCTGGGATTACAGACATGAGCCACCACACTTGGCCTAAGGCATAAATTTTAAATGTTTAAGACATAGGCCAGGATCGCCTGAGACCAGGAGTTCAAGACCATCCTCGCCAACATGGTGAAACCCTGTCTCTACTAAAAATACAAAAAATTATCTAGGCGTGGTGGCACACATCTGTAATCCCAGCTACTTGGGAGGCCGAGGCAGGAGAGTCTCTTGAACCCAGGAGGCGGAGGTTGCAATGAGCTATTATGCCACTGCACTCCAACCTGGGCGACAGAGCGAGATTCCGTTTCAGAAAATAAAAATAAAAATTATGTCTTAAACATAACAAAGTTTTCTTGGTTATTTTTGTTTCTTTTTTAAGAAGAAAGGTAATCTAGTAGTAGCGGTTTATTTGTCACAAATAAGTTTGCATTAATGAAATGTGCTATGCACTGTAGGAGTTTTAGAAGTATACAAGCATGCAGAGCTTAAATAATGTGCTATATATATTTATTTAATCCTGATGTTTTTAGCCTTATGTTAATTGGGGTAGGAAATTTAATTGCTGAATCAATTTTTATTTCGTTTCTTCACCTTAGGTCTTAGTACCCACTGTGTCTATGGTTGGAAAGCATTTGGGCGCAAGAAAGGATCATCCAGGCTTAAAGGCTAAAGAAAATGATGAAAATTGTGGTCCTACTACTACTGTTTTTGTTGGCAACATTTCCGAGAAAGCCTCAGACATGCTTATAAGACAACTCTTAGCTGTAAGTTGAACTGTTTATTTTTCATTAAAAATTTTTTTATTATTCTACATTTCAAACTTAAGCAGAAAGAGGACTTTCAGTGATTGCTTTTTATTATAAAAAATTCAATCCTGCAGCAAAGGTGAAAGTAGTACAGTGAACACGTTTGTATTCTTTTCCTAGATTCATCAGTGAACATGTTTAGATACTTTATGTACACTTGTGTACCACACACACTTTTTTCTTGGAAGTAAATTTGGAAGTAAATTGTGACATGACATTTTACCTGTGAATCCTTCATTTATCTCCTAAGAGCAAGGACATTTTGCGACATAATCACAGTGCCACTATCACATATGAAATTTGGCCCGGTGCAGTGGCTTTTGCCTGTAGTTGTAATCCCAGTCCTTTGCGAGGCTGAGGCAGGAGGATCTCTTGAAGCTAGGAGTTCGAGACCAGCCTGGGCAACATACCGAGACACATCTTTACAAAAAATTAAAATATAATAGCGCCAGATGCAGTGGCTCATGCCTGTAATCCCAGCACTTCAGGAGGCTGAAGTGGGTGGATCATTTGTGGTCAGGAGTTCGAGACCAGCCTGACCAACATGGTGAGACCCCATCTTTACAAAAAATACAAAAATTAGCCAGGTGTGGTGGCATGTGCCTGTAATCCCAGCTACTTGGGTGGCTGAAGCAGGAGAATCCCTTGAACCCGTGAGATGGAGGCTGCAGTGAGCTGAGGTCGTGCCACTGCACTCCACCTTGGGCGACAGAGTGAGACTCCATCTCAAAAAAATAATGATAATAATTTAAAAATAAAAAGCCAGGTGTAGTGATGCACGCCTGTAGTCCTAGCTGTTCAGAATCTGAGGTGGGAGGATTGCTTGAGTCTAGGAGTTCAAGGCTGCAGTAAGCTATGATCTTGTAATTGCACTCCAGTCTGAGCAAGAGAGTCTCTAAAACAAAAAAAAAATACAAAATTGATATAGTATTATTAACTAATACACATGTAGTTCATATTTAATTTTCCCAGTAATGACCATAATATTGATAGTTGTTTTATTTTTCATCCATGATCCAATGAAAGATTTTTATGTACTTTTGAGACAGATTTGCTCTGTCACACAGGCTGAATGCAGTGAGATCTCGGCTCACTGCAAACTCTGCCTCCTGTATTTAAGCGATTCTCATGCCTCGGCCTCCCGAGTAGCTGAGATTACAGTCATGTGCCATGACACCTGGCTCATTTTTGTGTTTTTTGTATAGACAAGGTTTTGCCATGTTGCCCAGACTTGTCTTGAACTCCTGGCCTCAAGCAAATCGCCTGCTTTGACTTCCCAAAGTGTTGAGATTACATGCATGGGCCACCACACCTGGCGTGGGTTAATATTTTGAGACTGTGTGAGTCGTTTTCCCCAGCGACCTTAAACAATGATTTTAGCATCCAATGATGATTGACTGATTCCTTTTAACGTTTTATTCTGAGCTTGAATACTAATAAGTTGTTTAAATTTGATAAACTTGTTGATTCACTTTTTTAACCTTAGTTTTTAAGATTTTATCTTGATGGCTGGGCACAGTGGCTCATGCCTGTAATCCCAGCACTTTGGAAGGCCGAGGCGGGCAGATTACAAGGTCAGGAGATCCAGACCATCCTGGCAAACACAGTGAAACCCTGTCTCTACTAAAAATAAAAAAAATTAGCCCGATGTGGTGGCGGGTGCCTGTAGTCCCAGCTTCTCGGGAGGCTGAGGCAGGAGGATGGCATGAACCCAGGAGGCGGCAGAGCTTGCAGCGAGCGAATCACGCCACTGCACTCCAGCCTGGGCGACAGAGCGAGACTCCGTCTCAAAAAAAAGATTTTATCTTGATAAATGTACATTGTTAAGTGAAATAATGCTGCATGATTGTATAATAAAATAAGGCCAGGGTGCGGTGGCTCACACCTGTAATCTCAGCACTTTGAGGGGGCCAAGGCGAGCGGATCACCTGAGGTCAGGAGTTTGAGACCAGCCTGACCAACATGGTGAAACACCATCTCTACTAAAAATACAAAAATTAGCCGGGCGTGTTGTGGGTGCCTGCAATCCCAACTACTAGGGAGGCTGAGGCAGGGGAATCATTTGAACCTGGGAGGCGGAGGTTGCAGTGAGCTGAGATGGCGCCACTGCACTCCAGCCTGGGCGACAAAGTTAGACTTTGTCTCACGCACAAAAAAAGGAGTTTGGAAGAATGACTATATTCTGCACTGAGAGGACTTGCAAATACGTCATTCTTCATCTATATCCCAGAGTCCTGTGTAGGTTCTCTGTAAGGACAGGACCAGGGTTATCAACCTGTGGTTCAGCTCATGAGTAGTTCAGTATGAGTCCTGCAGTCTTGTCATCCTCTGGAAATATTGTTGCCTTCTCTCCTTATGCCCCTCTGAGATGCTGGGCAATTATTTTATACCATTCATGATTCTTGCTTCAGCTCTTCATATTTAAGAAATTCCTGTTCTTTTAGGAAACTGGATCTCCTGGGCACTCTCTCAGTTTTAATTAACTGGTCTGAGGATGTTTCGGGTTTCTCAGTTTCATTTTCTTCCTTTACTTCCATGGGATTTTTGGTAATTTCAGTCTGAAGCCCGACTCCATTTTCATTCCTGAGTTTTCTCCTGGGGTTCTTTTCACTACAGCCATAAGGCCTAATCTGGGGTCTGCAGAGAACTAGCACTAACTCTGCTCTGATGGAATTCAGGAAAGTCAGAAGGTACTGGAGTATAGAAATGTGTTTGCTCCTGTCTGCTTCTGGAAGTCTCTGTTTTGCAATGTTATTACCACTAATGTTTTCTCCCTAGGTGTATGTGTAAAGATTCTCATCACATATTCTCATAGAAGTGCAGTTTCTGAGTCTTAGGGCATGCTTATCTGCAGCTTTACAAGATAATTCCACACCAATTTATTTATACTTACTGCAGCAGTGTTATGTCCAAGTTTCTATTCTTATACATCTTTTTTAACAGTGGGGATTTATTTAGACTTTTACATTGTGTTGTGAATTACCTTATTCCTATTTAAATATGCCTTTTTTATTGTTCTTTCTACATAATTTTGGTATTATCTGTTGACATAGTAGCTTGAGGCCTAAACTGTTAAAGGCCTCAATCTCCCTTCCCCAGCTTCCTTACAGGTGTTACAAGATGGTGAACTTGTTATGTTAATAAGTGTTATTATGTAAATAGTTTTAGCAGAACTAGGTCATGTGCTCTCATTGCATTTTCTTTCTTTTCTTTTCTTTTTTTTGAGATGGAGTCTCACTCTGTTATCCAGGCTGGAGTGCAGTGGCATGATCTCAGCTCACTGCAACCTTGCCATCCAGGGTTCGAGCAATTCTCCTGCCTCAGCCTCCCAAGTAGCTGGGATTATGGACCCCTGCTACCATACCTAGCTAATTTTTGTATTTTCGGTGGAGACGGGGTTTCACCATGTTTGCCAGGCTGGTCTGGAACTGTTGACCTCCAGTGATCTGCCTGCCTCAGCCTCCCAAAGTGCTGGGATTACATGCATGAGCCACTGTGCCTAGTCCATTTTTTGTTTATTTTCATATTTTATTTTTGAGACAGAGTCTAGCTCTGTTGCCCAGACTGGAGTGCAGTGGTGCAATCTCTGCTCACTGCAACCTCCACCTCCTGGGTCAGTGATTCTTCTGCCTCAGCCTCCTGAGTAGCTGGGATTACAGGCACCTGCTACCACGTCCGGCTAATTTTTGTATTTTTAGTAGAGACGGGGTTTCACCATGTTAGCCAGGATGGTCTCGATCTCCTGACCTCGTGATCTACCCACCTGGGCTTCCCAAAGTGTTGGGATTCTTTTCCCTTCTTTTCTAGAGCCCCTCCTGTCAGGTCCCTTTGTTTGTCTCATGTGTTCTGGTTCCTCTAAGTCTACTTTTATCCTTGGAGTTTTTCTGTCTTTTCTAGTATTCCCCTTATTGCTCTCCTGAGTTGGATGGTTTGGATCCTATATCTTGCTTGTGCCGACACATAGTAGCTCCTGTTATACTGGGATGATACATCCTTTATATACGATGTACATGGTATTTATAGGTGTGTGGTTGGTAACTTTTCTGAATCTAAATCTGAAGTGCTTTTTATTTTGATTATTCATGTGGTCAGTAGTTTACCTGGATATAGAATTCTATGTTGAAGCTTATTTTCCTCACATTGAAGGTGTTGCCTTAAGGTGTTATAGCATCTAATGATGGTTTTCAGAAGTCCCGTATCATTCTGAATGTTCTTTGTATGTGACCTGTTTTTCCCTGGAATGCCTCTACTAGTGTGGATTTGACTGATTGCAGGTTTTCCTAATTATGTGAAATTCTTCGAATGTTTATTTGATTTTCTTACTTTTCTTATATCATCGTGTTGGTCACTTACTTGGTGGGCCATTTCGTTCTGGAGATTTTTTTCAGGAGAAATTTTTGGGCTATTTGAGAATTGTTTTTACTGTCTTTCTTCAGGAACTCTGGATGTTGAACTTCCAGTTTTGACCTATGTGTTTTTGATTCCCCGTTTTCCATCTCCTACTCTTTTGTACGGGTTCTTGGGATTTGTCCTTAACTTTACCTTCCAGATTTCCATTGAAGTATTTATTTTTAATGCTGTGTTTCAAGTTTCCATTGGTTTTCTCTTGTTCTCTGAAGATTTCTCACCTACACCCTCCCTCTGTCTTTTTTTAACCGGGTAGAACCTTATTTTATTTTTCTTTTTTAAGACAGTCTGGTTCTGTTGCTCAGGCTGGAGTGCAATTGGCATGATTACAGCTCACTGCAGCCTCGATTTCCTGGGCTCAAGCCATCTATCTGCCTCATCCTCCTGAGTAGCTGGGACCACTGGTGTGTGCCACCACGCCTTCCTAATTTTTTTATTTTTGTAGAGATGGTGTCTCCGTATGTTGCCCAGGCTGGTCTTGAACTCCTGTGCTCAAGCAGTCCTTCCACATCAGCCTCCCAGAGTGTTGGCATTATAGACATGAGCCACACCTGGCTGCTTTTATTTTTAAAGTATAATAGTGTCCCACCTTCAGATAACCTGCCCTCCTTCACATTTTGGAATATTTATTTTACAGAAAGTTGTTTTTGTTTATAAAGTCTTGTGTATTTGCATTTTCTTTTCCCAAGTTATTTTTGCATACTGTATCAAGCGTTTTCCCATGTTAAAAATCTTTGATGACTGGGCGCAGTGGCTCACGCCTGTAATGCCAGGACTTTGGGAGGCTTAGGCGGGTGGATCACGAGGTCAGGAGTTCGAGACCAGCCTGGCTAGTATGGTGAAACCCCATCTCTACTTAAAATACAAAAAATTAGCCGGGCATGGTGGTGGGCATGCCTGTAGTCCCAGCTACTCAGGAGGCTGAGGCAGAAGAATCGCTTGAACCTGGGAGGTGGAGGTTGCAGTGAGCCGAGATCGTGCCACTGCACTCCAGCCTGGGTAACAGAGCGAGACTCCATCTCAAAAGAAAAAAAAATCCTTTATAAATACATACATTTTGTTTCAAAACGTTTCTTTCTAGGTTCATAATATTTACTTAAATTTATTAGAGTTTGTTTTAACCATTCTACTTTTAGGCATTTAGGTTTATGTGTTTATTTTGTTAGGATAAGTAGTGATGCGAAACTTTTAATAAAAGGTAAACAATGTTCTGCAAATGAAACATCAGTGAGAATTTACATTTTTCTTTAAATGATTTGTTGTTGATTTCTTTCATGTGATAGGTTTGTGGGAATTGCAAACATTTTCACAAATGTAGTTGCTGGTTTTTTATTTTATGCTTTTTACCCCTAGTAGAAATATAATTTTGCTTTTAGTTACATTAAAAATTATTTTGTTAAATGGTAGCAACCTTTTTGTTTTGTTTTCTTTTTAAGAAATGTGGTTTGGTTTTGAGCTGGAAGAGAGTACAAGGTGCTTCCGGAAAGCTTCAAGGTATGTCATTTTTTTCCTTATTTGCTGAAATCACTTTAACAAACTGTGTGCTTACATCACTTTGAATGACTTACTCTCATTGTCTTTATTGGTGAGACTTATTTTATTAGCACTCTTTGTGCTCTTTTTTATTGAAATAGGGTTAAAAGGCAGTTTGGGAAAATATTGGCTGAGAATTGAGATCTGAAGGAGGAAAAAGGTAACAGGAAAGGAAAAAATTAAAATTGCTCAATTTAACTGGTTTCTTGTGCTTTCCAAAGTTTCTTGTCTCAAGAAATGACTGCATGATCAAGATGGAACAATTAGAAGTTAGTGTTAGTAAGGGAGAAGAAGAAGAGACAATCATGGTTTGTTAACTTTTTTTTTTTTTTTTTCTTTTGAGACCTACTCTCACTCTGCACCCAGGCTGGAGTACAGTGGTGTGATCTTGGCTCACTGCATCCTCTGCCTCCTGGGTTGGAGCAGTTCACCTGCTTCAGCCTCCTGAGTAGCTGGAATACAGGTGTGCACCACCATGCCTGGCTAATTTTTGTATTTTTAGTAGAGACGGAGTTTCACCATGTTGGCCAGGCTGGTCTCAAACTCCTGACCTCAGATGATCCACCCAACTTGACCTTCTAAAATGCTGGGATTACAGGCAGGAGCCACCACACCTGGCCTCAAATGTCAATTTTTTAAATAGTTCATTTGATTCAGGATCTATATGAAGTCCACACATTGCAACTAGTTGGCAATTTGTTTTAAATCTCCTAATATTTTATTATTAGCACCATCCTCTAACCAACTGAGCTAACTGACCATACTCTTAATATTTTAAATTATTCTATTTCTAATTTCCTTGCAGTTTATTTGTTGAAGAAACTGGGTCATTTGTGCAATAGTATTTTTTAAGTCGAGTTTTGCTGAATGCAGCTCCAGTACTATAATTTGTCATTAATCTATCCTCTGTATTTTCTGTAAAGTGGTCACTAGTTGTACTTGATGTGTGTTGTGTGGTGTTTTTTTTTTTTTTTTTTTGGAGACGGAGTTTTGCTCTTCTTGCCCAGGCTGGAGTGCAATGGTACAATCTCGGCTCACTGCAACTTCCACCTCCTGGTTTTAAGCAGTTCTCCTGCCTCAGCCTCCCGAGAAGCTGGGATTATAGGCATGTGCCACCATGCCCGGCTAATTTTTTATTTTTAGTAGTAGAGATGGGGTGTCTCCTTATTGGTCAGGCTGGTCTCGAACTCCTAACCTCAGGTCATCTGCCTGCCTCGGCCTCCCAAAGTGCTGAGATTAGAGGCACGAGCCACCGCTCCCGGCTACTATGTTATTTGAAACGCAGTCTCGCTCTGTTGCCCAGGCTGGAGTGCAGTGGCGCGATCTTGGCTCACTACAACCTCCGTCTCCCGGGTTTAAGCGATTCTCCTGCCTCAGCCTCCTGCGTAGCTGGGATTACAGGCACCCGCCACCGTGCCCGGCTAATTTTTGTATTTTTAGTACAGACAGGGTTTCACCATATTGATCAGGCTGGTCTTGAGCTGCTGACCTCATGATCCGCCCATCTCAGCCTCCCAAAGTACTGAGATTACAGGCATGAGCCACTGCTCCCGGCCGCTATTTTTATTTATTTTTTTGTGCTTTTATTCTAGCACCTTATAGCCAGAATACTATAAAGGTAGTATTCTTCCATCAGGGAACACATATGAGATTGTCTTTTTTGTGTATGTAATAGCATCAGTGTTGCCAGTGCCTAGATTGATTAATTCATTAGGAAGTAATTCATCAGTAGTCTTTTTTTTTTGTTTTTGAGACAGAGTCTTCTGTTGCCAGGCTGGAGTGCAGTGGCGCGATCTTGGCTCACTGCAACCTCAGACTCCCTGGTTCAAACAATTCTCCTGCCTCAGCCTCCTGAGAAGCTAGGATTACAAGCACATGCCACCACACCCAGCTAATTTTTGTATTTTTAATAGAGACGGGTTTTACCATGTTGGCTAGGATGGTCTTGATCTCCTGACCTCATGATCTGCCCGCCTTGGCCTCCCAAAGTGCTGGAATTACAGGTGTGAGCCACTGCTCCCGGCCTCATCAGTAGTATGTTTTGAAGAATTCTGTCATTCTTTCATTGAGGAACAAATCTTTTTCATGTATTAGTAGAATGCTTCTCTATGGAGAAAGTTGCCCCTGCATCTACTATTTGGTAACTTAGAGGCATTTTTGTTGTTCTTGAGATGGAGTTTTTTGCTCTTGTTGCCCAGGCTGGAGTGCGATGGCACCATCTCAGCTCACTGCAACCTCCGCCTCCTGGGTTCAAGCGATTCTCTTGCCTCAGCCTCCTGAGTAGCCGGGGTTACAGGTGCCCACCACCACGCCTGGTTAATTTTTTGGTTTTTTTGGTAGAGGCGGGATTTTGCCATGTTTGCCAGGGAAGTCTTAAACACGTGACTTCAGGTGATCCATCCACCTCAGTCTCCCAAAGTGCTGGGATTACAAGCTTGAGCCACCATGCCTGGCATAGAGGCATATTTAATACAGAAAAGGCAGGATAAATGCCCTAGCTTTCTTTCTTAAAACAATGAGTTGGTATCCTCAGCATTCTCTAGCAGTAACTGATTTTCTTTTTTCTTTTAAATTATTGTGAACTTACGAATTGAAGCATATTTAGTGTTACTGTATTTAATGTGGATTCTTTGTAGTTATTATCACCATTAAAACTTAACTTAAATTGTCTCTGCACTTTATACATCTCCAGTGGTTTTGACATGACCCTGAACGTCTTTGACAGCTGCTTTGTTATCTGGTATGACAATTTGTTCCAAGGTCATCTAGTATAATAGTGTTTTGGCCCCAGACTTAGAATCAGCCATTTCTCCAGGGGAAATTGTTTTGAAGATCACGATCTGGGCACGAGGTGCACTCGTATTAACAGTGGTTTGGGATGGGCATGGTGGCTCATGCTTGTAATCCCAGCACTTTGGGAGACTGAGGCAGGCGGGTCAAGAGATCAAGACCATCCTGGCCAACATCTCTACTAAAAATACAGAAATTAGCTGGATGTGGTGGCGCGCGCCTGTAGTCTGAGCTACTCAGGAAGCTGAGGCAGGAGAATTGCTTCAACCCAGGAGGCAGAGTTTGCAGTGAGCTGAGATTGTACCACTACACTCCAGCCTGGCGACAGAATGAGACTCCGTCTAAAAAAAATTAAAAAGCAGTGATTTGGTGTTTGCTTTTAGATTTTTCCAGTGTATACTAATTCAGATTAAGGACTAAAAGGTTTTTATTTAACCTGTTCTGTCATATATCTGTATCTCCTTTTTCCCCACACTGAGTTCCCTGAGTTTCAAGGCCATTGGGGATGATAGAATATTAATTACTGAGTTGCTTTATCTCACACTGCACATAGAACAGTTTAAGACTAACCATTGGCACTATCACCAGCAATATGATCATTTTAAATTACTTTTCCTTTTTTTGAGACAGGATCTCTCTCTATTGCCCAGGCTGGAGTGCAGTGGGGGCAATCTCAGCTTACTGCAACTTCTGCCTCCTGGGTTCAAGCAGTTCTCCTGCCTCAACCTCCCTAGTAGCTGGGACTACAGGCATGCGCCACCACACCCAGCTAGTTTTTGTATTTTTAGTAGAGACAGGGTTTCACCATGTTGGCCAGGCTGGTCTGGAACTCCTGATCTCAGGTAATCCACCTGCCTCTGTCTCCCAGAGTGCTGGGATTACAGGTGTGAGCCACTGTGCCCGGCCTGAAGGTACTTTTTTGAGGGGCATATCTGTTTGTCTTTATGGTATAGCATGCTGAAAATGTTATAGTCAAATTTACTATTTTAATATCAGTAGTTTTTTTCTGTTTCATGTCATTATATACATGTTTAGATTTATTTGATTTTATTTTCAATTTGTTGGTTGCCCTTAGATTTAATTTTGTTTTAATATCTCTGTTAAAGTCATCTTAATAGCGAGATTGACTAGTTATAAAAGGAAATAGATATAAGCAAAATAGACTGGTAACTAGGATACAAGATCACTAATTCTGTAATTTAACATCTCAGAATTGAAAAGTGCATTGTTTATGTTCCTGTAGTCTGTTCTTATTTGTGGCTGTTTGGAAGTCTAGATAGGGTGAATTTATGAAATAATCGACTTCCTTTATTCATGAATTTCATTGACTCTGCTAAGTATTTTATCAGAGCTTCTAATGAGTATCAGTTTGTCTGATTTGAATTTTTCTTCTCCTCTGTTTTTCCTTTTTCCCCCTTTGGTTGTTTGAGGGTACTAAAAGTGAAATGATTATCAAAAGGAATTTGTGGACAGGGGTGGAATTATGAATTGAGTGGTCTTTGTATTAAAACATTTGGACTCTAGTAATTCTACTTTTCCATAATTTTTTTTCTTTTGTAAGTGGATTGGTATTTGACTAATTGTTTTTTCATCCATTGCTAGCCTTTGGATTCTGTGAGTACAAGGAGCCAGAATCTACTCTCCGTGCACTCAGATTATTACATGACCTGCAAATTGGAGAGAAAAAGCTACTTGTTAAAGTTGATGCAAAGACAAAGGCGCAGCTGGATGAATGGAAAGCGAAGAAGAAAGCTTCTAATGGGGTATGTTTTCTGTTGGGGTATCTTTTCTAGGCCAGGCTGTGCTATTTCAGTGTAATGCTTCTCATTATAAATGAATCTAATATGGGGCTTCAAAAGATCATCATGTATGTGCTTGTGGCTTAAATGTCGGAGGGTATTTGATAGTTTGTAGTTATTTTAAGTCTTATCTACCCATAGTGGGTGGATGACTGTTGGTTTGCTTGTTCCAGGTTGGGATGAAAGTAGTAAGGGAGGCTGGACAAGGTTAACTTGCCAGAGAAAACACTGGTACAGACTATTCCAAACAGAGCTAATTCATTAAGGCAGCTTTGTAAGTAAGTACAAAATATATTTCAACCTACACAATTTTTCTTAGTTTCCCTCTCTTTTAGAAGTACACCAACTCTAAAATGAATGAAACTCTGATTACTTGCCTTAGCTTGGGGGATTTATTCAAGCTATGCTAAGTGAAGCTAAAATAAAGGACATGGTTGTATATTGTATTGTAATGTATACATTATTACTCCCTCAACAAAGTGAAACATAGCTAAAACTTGAGTATATATTTCCTTCATTTCTCTTCTTAGTTCCTTTTTGGCATCTCATGCTGAACAAATGCAAAATAGATTTATTATTGCCTTCTCCCAACACAAAACCAGAAGTGTCTTTCGCTGTCATCAAATTTTTATTATCTTTCAAAATAGAAATTGCTTTCTGGGCCTGGCGCGGTGGCTCATGCCTGTAGTCCCAGCATTTTGGGAGGCCGAGACCGGCGGATCACGAGATCAGGAGATCAAGACCATCCTGGCTAACATAGTGAAAGCCGCTCTCTACTAAAAATAGAAAAAATGAGCCGGGCATGGTGGCAGGCGCCTGTAGTCCCAGCTACTTGGGAGGCTGAGGCAAGAGAATGGCGTGTACCCGGGAGGCGGAGCTCGCAGTGAGCCAAGATCACGCCACTGCGCTCCAGCCTGGGTCACTGCACTCCAGCCTGAGTCACTGCACTCCAGCCTGGGTGACAGAGCGAGACTCTGTCTCAAAAAAAAAAAAAGAGAAAGAAAGAAAGAAATCACTTTCTGCTGGACGTGGTGGCTCATGTCTGTAATCCCAGCACTTTGGGAGGCAGAGGCAGGCGGATCACCTGAGGTCAGGAGTTCGAGACCAGCCTGGCGAACATGGCAAAACCCTGTCTCTACTAAAAATACAAAAAATTAGCCTAGCATTGTGGCGGTTGCCTGTAATCACAGCATCCCGGGGGCTGAGGCAGGAGAATCGCTTGAACTGGAGAGGTGGAGTTGCAGTGAGTTGAGATCGAGCCATTGTATTCCAGCCTGGGCAACTAGAGCGAAACTCTGTCTCCCTGCTGCCAAAAAAGAAAAAAGAAATACCTTTCATGTCCCCTCCAAGTCCTTTGTTTAAAAAAAAAAACAAAACACCAAACCCAAAAAGCCCACAAAATGAAGCAAAGTATAATCCCACCATCATAAGTAACACTAGATAGTTTGGATGTATGTTCTTCTGGACATTTTTCTGTGTATGAATGTAGTTTTTTTCTTTTTTTGACACAGAGTGTCTCTGTCGTTCAGGCTAGAGTGCAGTGGTGTAATCTTGGCTTACTGCAACCTCTGCCTCCCGTGTTCAGGTGATTCTCCTGCCTCAGCCTCCTGAGTAGCTGGGGTTACAGGCATCCGCCACCACATTCAGCAAATTTTTGTATTTTTAGTAGAGATGGGGTTTCACCATGTTGGCCAGGCTGGTCTGGAACTCCTGACTTCAAGTAATCTGCTCTCCTTGGCCTCCCAAATGCTGGGATTACAGGTGTGAGCCACCATGCCTGGCCAAATGTAGATTTTTGGTTGTTTTTTGGTGGTTTTTTTTTTGAGATGGAGTCTCACTCTCTTGCCCAGGCTGGAGTGCAGTGGCGTGACCTCAGCTCACTGCAACCTCCACCTCCCAGTTTCAAGTGATTCTCCCTCCACAGCCTCCCAAATAGCTGGGATTACAGGCGCCTGCCACCAGGCTCGGCTCAGCTACTTTTTCTGTTTTCACTGTGTAGGTGAGGCTGGTCTTGAACCTTAGGCGATCCGCCTGCCTCGGCCTCTCAAAGTGCTGGGATTACGTGCAAGCCACTCTGCCTGGCCAGCATTGCCTGTATTTCTAAAACAAGTATAATTTTATCACACTCTTGCTTATTATGTGAGACCCATCCTTAATGATTTTAGATTTCTTACAGAAAAAAGACCCCCCCCCCCCCCCCTTTTTTTTTTTTTTCTGACTCCGTCTTGCCCTGTCGCCCAGGCTGGAGTGCAGTGGCAAAATCTTGGCTCACTGCAACCTCCACCTCCTGGGTTCAGGTGATTCTCCTGCTTTGGCCTACCGAGTAGCTGAGTTTATAGGCACCCGCCACCACCCCTGGCTCATTTTTATATTTTTAGTAGAGGTGGGATTTCTCCATGTTTTCCAGGCTGGTCTTCAACTCCTGACCTCAGGTGATCCACCTGCCTTGGCCTCCCAAAGTGCTGGGATTACAGGCGTGAGCCGTGGTGCCCGGCATAAAGCCCATATTTTTAGGATGACATTCAAGGCTCGCTCCAGCCCACCTTTCTGACTTCCTTCTTTCCTCCTCTGCACATACTACTGCATGTACCTCCACAATCTTCCTTTTTGCTTTGCTAGCATCTCATGTCTTTGTTCCCTATCCAAGCTCCCTGTTGAAATTCTATCCATACTTATAATTAACATGTCCCTTGATTAATATAGACTTTATCAGCCTACCCTCAGTTTCTCTCAGACAGAATTAAGTCCTTTGTTCCCGTATAAAGCAGATCTTTGTAGCTGTTTTAGTAAATATTGTTTATATGTCTCTCTCTTTCACAGCCCTTTGTTACCCATCTCATTCCCATATCCTCTTTCAACCCCCATCTCTGATTACAAATGGAAAGGGTGATAAGTTTGTGGGCTGTGTCTCTTTAATCTTGTACCTCAGCAGCACCTAGGTCAGTGTCTTGCCTAAAGCAAGGATGGAATTAACATTTGTTAACAGTTGCTTATCTGTCAGTCTTACTATCCTTACCCTGCTTCATAAGGAAATTATATTTATATTTTATTTCAAATCAGTAATACTGCCTGTCACATCACTAAAACCTCAAAAAAACAGAAATGTTTGAAATAAGAATTTTCAGGTTTGCCTTGTTGTGATGACTGTATACTAACTAGTTAGAGGTATGGATTCAGTACCTTCAAAGTGTTCTGATTTGCTAGGACTCACTGTTTTCTTGTGTTTAATCTTCGGTTTGTGAGGTCATTTAATTTGTAGCATTTGTAAATGTTATACTGAAAAACTCTGAAAATGAAATAAATCACTATACTACGTATTTTTATAAATAAGGAAAGGTGACTTGGCATTTCTTGCTTGCTTGCTTGCTTTTTTTGGGGTGAGGACAGAGTGTTGCTCTGTCACCCAGGCTCGAGTGTGGGGTGGTGTGATCTCTGCTCACTGCAACCTCCTATTCCCAGGCTCCAGTGATCCTTCTGCCTCAGCTGGGACTACAGGTATGTACTACCATACCTGCCTAAGTTTTATATTTTTTGTTGAGATGGGGTTTCACTGTGTTGTTCAGGCTGGCCTTGAACTCCTGGACTTAAGTGATCCACCTACCTCAGCCTTCCAAAGTGCTAGGATTACAGGCAGGAGCCACTGTGCCCAAGAAATGTTGATTTCTTATATAATCAACATTAGCCAGAGTAACCACACTTCAGATCTGTTTGTTGGTCTTCAGGAGAAGCAATATGTGTCTGGATGTGGTGGCTCACACCTGTAATCCCAGCACTTTGGGAGTCCGAGGTTGGAGGATCACCTGAGGTCAGGAGTTTGAAACCAGCCTGGCCAACATGGTGAAACCCTGTCTTTACTGAGAAAGACATACAAAAATTAGCCGGATGTGGTGGCGCACACCTGTAATCCTAGCTACTTGGGAGGCTGAGGCAGGAAAATCACTTAAACCTGGGAGGCAGAGGTTGCAGTTAGCCGTGATTGCGCCACTGCAGTCCAGCTTGGGTGACAGAGTGAGACTCTGTCTCATGAAAAAGCGAAGTTACATGCAGTAAAATCACACAGAAAAATTATTTTTAATAAAATGAAATTAAAACAGTTGACAGACATCAGTTATATGATTTATTGTTCCAACTGTATATGTGTATTTCTGAGTGCCCTTTGGCTTCTTGCCCAGTGGTACTTGAAGTCATAGGATAAACATGGCATATTTTCCTAGTGTTAATTTTACTCAACAATATAGGTTAAAAAAGCATTCTATCTGATGTAAAAATTTTTTTTCAATAATGTAAGCAAATATTACTATATAGTGGAGTAGATTAGAGATTTGCCATGATTTTTTTTTTTAAGGGTGGTTTTGGGTGGAGGGAGGTAGGAAAGCCAGAGAGGAAAGATTGGAGGGAGGGAGCAGGGGGAGGGGGGAAGATGGTGGGTGCGAGATAGGTGGCCACTGCCGCCATGATTTTTCAGCATAAAAATATGACATGGTGATTGTTTTTTATTCTTGATCGTTGATTAGTTGGAGAAATTTAGAAGGCTGTTACTTAAGTAGAGGATAGGAGAACGAGACATTGAGAACCCTTTGTGTTGCTTTATTAGGCATTTTCCTCTGAGGCGGAAGAGAAAACAGTTCCGTATTTCTCATTGATTAAAAAGGAAACATGAGTTTGTCTAGGAGAGCAATATATTTTTCATGATCCAGAATTTTCTTTCTTTTTTTTATGAGATGGAGTCTCGCTGTGTTGCCCAGGCTGCTGTCTACCTCCTGGGCTGGGCTCAAGCAGTTCTCCTGCCTCGGCCTTCCAAGGTGCTGGGTTTACAGGCATGAGCCACTGTGCCCAGCCATATTCAGAATTTTAAGAAGAATTTTGGACATGTATAAGATATCTTGTCAAACAACTTGACTGAACAGTTTAATGTAGATTTTGCAGAATTTACAGGAGTAAATTTTTTTCTTTCATTTCTTACTGACCTTTAGTAGTAAAAGTATTCTGTGTGAGGTGGCCATGCTAATTTAGTTCACGTCCTATTGCTTTCTGGCTGTCCCGCAAAAATAGCATAGGAGACAGTATATCTGCTTGTATGTCACAAGTCACAGTTAATTAACCATATATTCAAGAATGAACACTGACAAGTGCTGGAAACACAGTTATTCTCTGGAAAGAACCTGTTAATAGAGGACAGCTGCTGCAGGTGAACATCTTTGTCTGGAAATTAGCCTAGTTGAGTCTACATTTTCTCAAAAGAAAGAACTCTGCATTTCCTTAAGTTTTTTAAAAGGTTCGTACTTTGCATTCTAGAACTCATTGTCAAAGAATGAGCCCAGCAGAGCTGTTTAACTTCACAGCCACTAGCTTTACTATTGAAATTTTAATTTATCTGAAAAGAACCAACTAGGTGGGCCATGTAAACATTACAGATAATCTATCAGCTTCCTATATGGCTGAATCCTTGACCTTTTGTTTCCCAGTATTACTGAATATGCTTTCTGGTTTCTCCCGCTTCGCCCTCGAAAGTCTCACTCTTGTCTCCCAGGCTGGAGTGCAACCTCCACCTCCTGGATTCAGGCAATTCTCCTGCCTCAACCTCTTGAGGAACTGGGAGTACAGGCACCCGCCACCACTCCTGGCTAATTTTTTGTATTTTTAGTAGAGATGGGTTTCTCCATGTTGGCTAGGCTAGTCTTGAACTCCTGACCTCAGGTGGTCCACCCACCTAGGCCTCCCAAAGTGTTGGGATTACAGGTGTGAGCCACCGCGCCCGGCCATCTGGTTTCTGAAGTATAAGAAAAAAACGGAAAATCAGAAAATTGTGTATGGTTGATATTCCAGAGATAGAGCTTTAGATGAAACTTGCCAGTCTGTGAAGTGTCTTTCTAACCTGATCATCTACCATAATCAGTTTTTTTTTTTTTTTTAATATTAGCAATCAGTTAAGATTTTTGGGTTAATAAACTTTTCTTCTAAAAATGTGAGTTAGTTAATTCCAAATGCTTTTATCTCTAATTCAGGTAAAATAGCCATATTGATATTTAAATTTCGGTTTACAGTGGAAACAATATAAACTCCATTTAGGGTTTATACGGATTTTTTTTTTTTTTAAAGGAGTCTCGCTGTGTCGCCCAGGCTGGAGTGCAGTGGTGCGATCTTGGCTCACTGTAGTCTCTGCCTCCCGGGTTCAAGTGATTCTCCTGCCTCAGCCTCCCAAGTAGCTGGGACCATGCCTGGCTATTTTTTTGTGTTTTTAGTAGAGACGGGGTTTCACTGTGTTAGCCAGGATGGTCTCCATCTCCTGACCTTGTGAGCCACTGCACCCGGCTGGGGAATTTTTGTGTTTTTTTTAGTAGAGACGGAGTTTCACAATGTTGGTCAGGCTGGTCTCAAACTCCTGACCTTGTGATCCGCCCACCTCAGCCTCCCAAAATGCTGGGATTACAGGAGCGAGTTTTTTTTTTTGTGCGGCGGGGAGACAGTCTTGCTGTGTCTCCCAGCCTGGAAGGGAGCGGAGTGATCTCGGCTCACTGCAGTCTCCACCTCCTGGGTTCAAGCAGTTCTCCTGCCTCAGCCTCCCGAATAGCTGAGATTACAGGCACGTGTCACCATGCCCAGCTAATTTTTTGTAACTTTGGTAGAGATGGGGTTTCACCATGCTGGCCAGGCGGGTCTGGAACTCTTGACCTCGTGATCTGCCTGCCTTGGCCTCCCAAAGTGCTGGGATTGCAGGCGTGAGCCACCGTGCCCTGCCAAGTGGTTAGTTTTATAATAACACATAATGCCTTATATTTAAGTTATCTGTGTCATAACCCATCTGTTACTCTGTATTGGTATAGCTTGAGGAAAAGAGCGCGTTTTTCAATTTGAATTTTACTCCGTCTAAGTGCAGCATTTTTCTCACCCTACGATCCTAAGAATTCGTTGCTGGGTGCGGTGGCTCACGCCTGTAATTCCAGCACTTTCAGAGGCCGAGGCGAGCGGAACATGATGTCAGGAGATCGAGACCATCCTAACACAGTAAAACCCCGTCTCTACTAAAAATACAAAAAAATTAGCTGGGCGTGGTAGCGGGCACCTGTAGTCCCAGCTACTCCGGAGGCTGAGGCAGGAGAATGGCGTGAAACCGGGAGGCGGAGCTTGCAGTGAGTTGATATGGTGCCACTGCACTCCAGCCTGGGCAACAGAGCAAGAAAAAAAAAAGAAATGAGCAAATTAATTTAAGAAATAAAATGTTGGCCGAGCGCGGTGGCTCAAGCCTGTAATCCCAGCACTTTGGGAGGCCGAGACGGGCGGATCATGAGGTCAGGAGATCCAGACCATCCTGGCTAACCCAGTGAAACCCCGTCTCTACTAAAAAATACAAAAAACTAGCCAGGCGAGGTGGCGGGCGCCTGTAGTCAGCCCAGCTACACTGGAGGCTGAGGTAGAAGAATGGCGGAAACCCAGTAGGCGGAGCTTGCAGTGAGCTGAGATCCGGCCACTGCACTCCAGCTTGAACGACAGAGCGAGACTCCGTCTCAAAAAAAAAAAAAAAGGAAGAAAGAAAGAAAATGTTTGTTAAATACATATCCATTGGAGACAGCTTTCAGAATGCTGGTGGTCAACTTATAAAGTTAGTGCTAAGTTACGTTGTTAAGGAGCCACAAGGCATGAAACTCACCTTGAATAGAGTTGCAGGAATTATGACCAAGAGCCAGGCATGTATGCACATGAGCATGGTTCTTGTATGTATCTGAAAATGTGCACGGTATATGTTTACCAAGTAAGTCTTTAAAAACTTTGGGGCATGTACCTCTATTGTAGCACATTAGAAGCCAACAATTTCCCCCATATAGAGGGAATAATCTAGACTTCTTAGAAAATACTAATTATTATTATTGAGATGGAGTTTCGCTCTTTTGCCCAGGCTGGATTGCAGTGGCGTAATCTCTGCTCACTGCAACCACTGCCTTCCGGTTTTAAGCGATTCTCCTGCCTCAGCCTCCCGAGTAGCTGGGATTATAGGCATGCACCACCGCACTCGGCTAATTTTTGTATTTTTAGTAGAGATGGGGTTTCAGCATGTTGGCCAGGCTGGTCTTGATTGAACTCCTGACCTCATGATCCAGCCCCCCTCGGCCTCCCATAGTGCTGGGATTACAGGAGTGAGCCCCACCACGCCTGGCCAGAAAATTACTGATAAAGACCTACAAATAGTTACTTTGATTCCTTCTTAGTGTATGGTTTCTATAAGTGGTATTCTTGCATTGTAAGAACTCGTAGAAACCAAATAGGAAATAAGCCATCATTTCAGCCCCTAAACTCCTGATTCTGGCATTTTGGTGTATTTAGCAATCTGATGTTTTTGTTTGTTTAATCTACATACAATTTTGTTTATTCTGTGCGGTAGCTTTCACAATTAACTTAAAATTGTATTTTGCCTTTACTGCATAACTGAATTTTCAGCCATTTAGTATCTGTTTAAAAGAATGAACTATTACATACAGTTGTTACTATTTGTGTACCTATTGAGCAAAACAGTCTGAAAACTTGTGAATGGTTTGCAGATGTGTTATAGAGTGTGCTAGTCCTGAAATTTAGGGGCCAGAATTTTTTAGCTATTACAAAAAAGAAAATGAAAATGAACTAGTATCTCAGGAATAGTGAAATTTAAAAAAAATGAAGCTTTTATGATGTTAAGAACAAAACCAACTCTGTGTTTAATAGGACTACAGAGATGTTTTTGAGAAAACATGTATGTTCGTTAACTGTTGTTGTAGAGTGATTTTGATTTTCTTGCTTGATTTTTCTTTCCCCTGAATTTGCTGTTTTCTTTAAGAATGCAAGGCCAGAAACTGTCACTAATGACGATGAAGAAGCCTTGGATGAAGAAACAAAGAGGAGAGATCAGATGATTAAAGGGGCTATTGAAGTTTTAATTCGTGAATACTCCAGTGAGCTAAATGCCCCCTCACAGGAATCTGATTCTCACCCCAGGAAGAAGAAGAAGGAAAAGAAGGAGGACGTATGTGTTCTGACAACAACATATAATTTCTACCATTTGTTTTTTATGATCTCACTCTTATGCTTTGATTACATGTCAGTTTTCTTTTTTCTTTCTTTTCTTTCTTTCTTTTTTTTTTTTTTTTGAGATGGAGGCTCACTTTGTCTCCCAGACTGGAATGCAGTGGCGCAGTCTCAGCTCACTATAACCTCCGCCTCTGGGGTTCTGTGGGGCATTGTATGTAATCTAGAGAAGTTTTAAAGTATATGGGAGAATGCGCATGGGTTATATGCCATATATCCCTCAAGGGATCCACTTGCCTCATTCTCCCAAAGTGCTGGGATACAGGCGTGAGCCACCACTCCCAGCCTTAAAATTTTTTAAAAATTATTTTAAAAAATGGATTAAAAATACATTTTAAACTTTTTTACAGAGACAGGGTTTCATTATGTTTTCTAGACTGGTCTCCAACTCCTGGGTTCAGGTTATCCTCCTGTCTCAGCTTCCTAAAGTGCCAGGATTACAGTCGTGAGCCACTGCACCTGACCCTTATTTTACTTTGTTTGCCTATGGTTGTTCTGTCTCTGTTCTAAGCAGGAAACCAGATCTGATTCACTGAAGATTTCCACCCACTCTTAATTTTTAGCTGCCTTTCTTTAGAAACTATGTCGCATTCCCCTCCCTGAACAATAGTGGTATTGAATAATCAAACTGGAGGATTCTGAAAGAACAGTACAACTTGAAACATTCCTCCTCAGTGAATTGATTGCTACCTCTTTGTCGCCCTAAGCTAATTGAACAGTGGGCAGTCCAGGTTGAAAGAAAAGGTTTACTTATTTCCTTTGGATAAACTTAGATAAATTATAGGAAATGTTCTTTTAAAAATAATGGAAGAAACCAGGAGTGGTGACTGATACATGTAGTCCCAGCAGCTGGGGAAGCTGAGGGGAGGTTTACTTGAGCCCATGAGCTTGAGTCTAGCCTGGGCCACAGAGCGAGACCCTGTCTGTAAAGTAAGAAAAAAAATCCCACAAATATTGGAAGTGTTTTGTTTTATTTATTTATGTTTTTGAGACAGTATCTTGCTCTGTCACCCAGACTGGAGGATGGTGGCGCAATTACGGCTCACTGCAGCCTTGAATACCCATCCTAAAGTGATCCTCCTGCGTTAGCCTCCTGAGAAGCTGAAACTATAGGCATGTGCCACCATACCCAGCTATTTTTATGTATTTTGTAGAGATGGGGTTTCACCATGTTGCCCAAGCTGGTGTTGAACTCCTGAGCTTAAATGATCTGCCTGCCTTAGCCTTCCAAAGTGCTGGGACTACAAGGGTGACCCACTCATAGCCAGTGTTTTATATGCATCCATTATATAATAAAAAAGTACTACCTTGTATATATATTATGATTAGTTATGAATGGATGGTTACATTTTACATTATTTTAAATTTGAATGCCTTTTTAGGCCATCTTCAGTTTTCTTTGTGGCCAGATACATTTTTATTATTTGGTATGTATTTCCTCATTTGGCCATAGAACTTTCTTTTTTGTTCTTTCCCCCACCCCCCACTGAGATGGAGTCTCACCCGGTTGCCCAGGTTGGAGTGCAGTGGCTGCGATCTTGGCTCACTGCAAGCTCTGTCTCCCGGGTTCAAGCAATTTTCCTGCCTCAGCCACCATGCCTGGCTGCTTTTTTGTATTTTTAATAGAGACGGGGTTTCACTGTGTTAGCCAGGATGTTGTCGATCTGACCTCGTGATCCGCGTGAGCCACCGTGCCCGACCCATAACTTTTCTAATGAGGTGTATTCTATTAGGAATGGTAATTGGTAGGGTCAGTAAGGTACAGGGTAATTGAGGCCTGTAGAGTTCATTCTTTATCTTTCTTCATTAGTGGGAAAGGAGAAAAATAACATATTTGTTTGATATGGATTGGAAGGAGATAATAAAATCTTCCTCTGTGGCAGGAGTTATGGATAAATATTGTTGGTATGATTAGAAAGCCCTGCTACTATGAGATCACCTTCTATATTTCCATTTTTTGAGGGTGTTCGAGTATCCAGAGAGGAGGTGGTGTGTGATAAGTTATTGTGAAGAGAGTGAAATCACTTTTATTCCCAAGTAATTTGAAATCAAGAAATTATCACAAAAGTGTACTGTATTGTTCATGTCGTAAATGTATAGGCCATTGCTTTGCAGAGTAGTATGAGCTCTGTTTTTCTTTTTTAAAAAAGATTCTTGGTGGATTTTTTCGCAGATTTTCCGCAGATTTCCAGTGGCCCCACTGATCCCTTATCCGCTCATCACTAAGGTTCGTTTAAATTGTAGGCTTTGACAATACCTGTGTTTACTGCTGATTGTTGATTTGTCATTCTTGTCTTTGTGATTTTTCACTATTTAACTTTAGATTGTTAGATTTGTTATTGTGGATGTTCTATTTACTTATTTACTCTTTGAGACTTACACAGAATATCTAACCTTTAACTGTTTGTATTGAAGTAGGTTGTTCTTTATTCATTAGCTCCTTTGCTTGTTTTCTTTTAGGAGGATATAAATGCTATAGAAATGGAAGAAGACAAAAGAGACCTGATATCTCGAGAGATCAGCAAATTCAGAGACACACATAAGGTAGTATTCTTGTCTTTTCACTTGATACCAATCTAGACTTTTTACAGAATCCAAAGCAAAGAGACAAAAAAACAACCTTAAATTAGAATATAATTTTAAATGCTTTTTATAGGTTTAATTGATATTTAGATAGAAAAAAGAAACAGAAGACCAATACCATATTAAAGTAGTCCTTGACATATTGTGCTTAGTTTTTTCAGTTACTGACTATTCTGCAGTCATCTCACTTTAATATGAATAGAAGCTAATTTTATTTTTAGATTTCAACATAAACATCAAGGTCAGACTTAGATTCAGGGGGCAGCAGGATAACATACACTGTAGTGTATTTCTGGGGGCAGTTATTTAACTTGATCTTAGGATTACCTTTCTTTAGAGAGCTGAGATTAAAATTTACATTTTATATTTGTATAGATTTAAGTTGAGTGGGGGAGATTTTAAAAAGTAGGTCAGTGGTTACCAGACTTACCAAATTATAGATGCATGGAAGAACTGTAAATTCCCATAAAGCTAATCTATTCATTGACCCCCACCATTATGATAGAGATCATATGGTGACTAATGCAAGATGAAACTCTCAGCTTGGAAAGTAACAAGGAATAGGATGTAAGTATGAGCTTCTGTTTTTTATTATATTTATGGATGCCCCCTCAGAAAAATATGCAAAGGGGTAACTGGCTTGGAAATGGGTATTTATGCATAGTAAATCCCACTCACGAGTTTTGCCTATTTGAAGCTTCTCTCAATGACAGTGCATCTGTGAATGTTCGCTGGTGTTGAAAATGATGCTTTTGGACGGTGCAATGCAAACACTGCATGACATGTATTTTGATGGTAGAGATAATAAGGTGTTGCTGGTTCTTACTGATAGACTGAGAGATCTTTAACTCAGTGAAATGTTAAATGTTCGTTTTCTCTTTTATTCTTACTTTTTCCCATTGCTTTCAAAATCTGTAGTTCACAAATAATGCCAATGAATCAGTGCTGCTGAACACTTACTATCCAGATGCCCAGCCCTTGCTCATATACACAGTGCTTTTTCAAGAATTAAATATGTCTAAGAGCACAAACATAATTCTCCCAAAACTAATTTTGAGAGTTGAAAAGGTGGTCTATGGGAAATCATTTTAGATGAATAATTTTGGTTAGGTATAATACTCAAATTCAGGACCGAGTAAGCTTAAAAATGGTATATGGTTGTGTGTGTGGTTTACCCCCTTTTTGTTTTTATTTATTTGTTAAACCCTGTCATGTTATTGGTAAATTATGAGGAAATCATGTTTTAAGAAAAATTCGAAAATATATTTGCTTTAAAGTTTGGGAATCTGTCAGGCATTTTACTGCCTTAGTATTATTTCACTGGAGGGAATGTTTTGAATTTTCAGAATGTCTTTTCAAAATAAAAAGAGATCAAAATGAAAAACCAAAACAGTTTTTTTTTATTGGGTGGTTTGGCTAAAAGGGTTGTTTGAAACTTCAGTAACAAAAAATGAGCTCAGTGAACCTTTGCATGTTTTGGTATGAGTTTATTAAATAACCACAGACTGTCAGGGTATCAGCGTGGCAGGGGGCGTCCATTTACAGCACGGATGAGTCTGAAGAGAGAATGAGGTAAGATTTATGATTTTTTAAAAATCTGTCCTTTCCTCTTCATTACTTTCTTACGTGATTTTAGACTCGCCTCATTTCCCTTCTCCAGTCTTTATTTAAAAAAATACATGTATATGTTTACATGTATACATATACTTATATACATGTGTATATATATCTCTCTCTCATATATAAACTTTAGGAAACATTTAGTATGGACTAGATTCACTCACTTTTTCATTTACTTAGAATCAAACTTTTGAAATGAGTTCTGAAACAAATGGTTATTTTTATTACTGAATATAAAGAGCACAGTGAAATAAGCAAGAATTAAAAATTGAGGAATTCTACAGGAAAATTAGTATTGGAACAGCTAAAATATTCTGTAAGTATCTATTTCAGAAATAAACAAATTTCTTTATAAGTGTATGCCATTGAGGTAAGTTTTATATAGTCTAGCCTCATTTTACAATATAAATTTTTATATTCATTAGAACTGTTTCAGAAATGAGATTTTTTTCCCCCTTTAATAGCTGTCAGTTTCTGTCCTCTTTCTGTCATCTCATTTCATCCCTTTGTAATTTCAATGTATTCAGTTTTGGCTTTGCCTGCATTCTACTTCGATACAGACTGGCACAGCAACTGAATATGTTGCTCATACATTAGCTTTTCTTTCATAACCTGCTATCAGTTCTCTGATCCATGAGGAAGAGAAAGAGAGTATCTGACAGGTAAGATTGCTTTTTAAAGTTGTTTTAAATGCATTACATGACTGAGAAAAGAAAAATGCACATTTTATTGTTGCAGTTTAAAATTTCATTTCGGTGAAACTAAACGTGAAACAAAAGGGATAAATGTGTTTTGTATTGTTTTACCTGTTTGGGATATTTTTTTCTGAGTTTGTGTAGAAACCGTGTGGTACACTGGTAATCTTTTCAGGGTACAAACTTGGTCTGACTTTGTTATTTGGTTTATTTGTGAACCATGTACTTGCTCTTCCTCCCAGAAACATAGCTTGTAGGCAAGGTTAATCCAGTGTTGGCGATCCATGTCCTAGCACAGCATCTGTAAGTTAATGCACAATCATTCCTTCCAAGGATGGATTTATCATTGTAAATATATTTTCATTGTCTTACAGGCATAATGGGCATAAGTGTATTGCTTTTAAATATTTTAAATGAAACTATTACAGTTACATATATTTTGCTTGAAGTGAGTGATTTTCAAACTTTTTGTATTTGGTGGGCTGTCCATCTTGTAATGGTGGGAGTAAATGTTTCCATAGATAATAAAGCAGTTCTTGGCTGAATTCAGCTTGTGTTTCTTTTGGAGGGTGGGCAAATTAGAGGGCAGAGATTATTTAGTTGCATTATAGGTATTCTTCTGTACCACTTGCCCTTTGAAACCCTCAACTTGAGGTAATGCGCAGTCTGGGGTTTTAATTAGTATTAATCATCTTGTGGATTTACGGAAATCCATAATGGACAGAGTTGAGTTTTAACCAATGATAGTATTTATAGAAAACATTTCGAACCACCACATTCTTCATGGTCATTTTAGTTAGTACATAGTCATTGAGTGGCCAGCCACACCTGACACAATCTCCCAGCATCCAAGATTGGAGATTCCTGGTCTGTGTAGAGTATATGGTTTTGCACGAAATCTTTCTAGTCTTGTGATTGCTTCAGTTTAATTTGTCACATAAAACCACAAGTATTTAATATTAGTGTATCAGTGGTTTGGTGTTTTTGTTCCCAATATTGGGCATTGCGCCGGGAAAAATCTGAATACTGGAGCTACAGAGTTAACTCTAAAAGTGCTTTTATTGGTTTCTAGAAACTGGAAGAAGAGAAAGGCAAAAAGGAAAAAGAAAGACAGGAAATTGAGAAAGAACGGAGAGAAAGAGAGAGGGAGCGTGAAAGGGAACGAGAAAGGCGAGAACGGGAACGAGAAAGGGAAAGAGAACGTGAACGAGAAAAGGAGAAAGAACGGGAGCGGGAACGAGAACGGGATAGGGACCGTGACCGGACGAAAGAGAGAGACCGAGATCGGGATCGAGAGAGAGATCGTGACCGGGATAGAGAAAGGAGCTCAGATCGTAATAAGGATCGGAGTCGATCAAGGTAAGTCTTTACAGAAGTTACTGTTTCCTAATAGCTTTTATAGAACTACTGGGTAGTCCTCCAGAGTACCATTTGCATTCGTGGAATGAGAGGATTTTTTGTGTGTGTGTGAGACATTCTCACTCTGTCACTCAGGCTGGACTGCAGTGGCTGAGCATGGCTCACTGCAATCTCCGCCTCCTGGGTTCAAGTGATTCTCGTTCCTCAGCCTCCCAAGTAGCTGGGATTACAGGTTCATACCACCATGCCCAGCTAATTTTTTGTATTTTTGGTAGAGATGGGGTTTTGCCATGTTAATCAGCCTGGTTTTTGAACTCCTAGCCCCAAGTGATCCGCCTGCCTCAGCCTCCCAAAGTGCTAGGACTAGAGGCGTGAGCCACTGCACCCGGCCTGAGAATTTTTTTTAGAGACAACATGGTCTTTGTCTGTCTCTCTCTCTCTTTCTTTGTCTCTCGCGCGCTCGCTCTCCCTCTCTCTTACACACACACACACACACACTCTCACTCACTATGGGTGAAAGTAATAATTTTCAACTCTGGTTAATTTCTGTCTGAAGCCACTTTTTATAGAAACACAGTGGCCACTCAGTGTTCTGGGCAGACATGACTCCCTGCTGTCTCCCTGGGTCCGTGGGTATTTTTTAAGTTGTTATTTTCGTTGAAGTTCTGTATACTGAGACATCAACTCTAGCACCACATCTTTTTAGCCCCTAGCATTTTTATTTGATTTTTTAGCCCACTGCACTGCCACAGCTTAATCTTTCTGTCTATAAATTTACTATCTACCTCTACCTCTGGCTCCTAGTAATTTTACTCTTTGGAAGGTTTTATTTTTTATTTAAATTTTTAAAATTATATTGGCTAATTTTTTTTTTTTTTTTTTTTTGAGGCATGGTCTTGCTCTGTCACCCAAGTTGGAGTGCAGTGGTACAGTCTTGGCTCATTGCAACCTTTGCCTCCCAGGCTTAAGCAATTCTCCTGCTTCAGCCTCCCGAGTAGCTGGGACTACAGGCACATACCACTGTCCCGGACTAATTTTTGAATTTTTTTTTTTTGTAGAGACCAGGTTTTACTATGTTGCCCAGCTGGTCTCGAACTCCTGAGCTCAGGTAATCTGCCCGCCTCAGCCTCCCAAAGTGCTGGGATTACAGGTGTGAGCCACCACGGCCGGCCTTATATTGAATTATTTTGATGAGTCATCTCATTGTTGAGCAATGAGGTATAGCAAACATGAACAAAGGAAGAAGAGAAAGCAGCAAGGAAGAGAGAAAAAGCTCCTTTTTCTTCAAGCTAGTTTTAAAATATACATTACTGTGTTGCAGTTTCTTTCTTGATTATGGCTGGAGGGAGTTCCACTTTAGGTCATTTCACCTAATTGCTAGAACTAGAACTGGAAACTCAACCTTTAGTAGGCATTAAAATTATTTCATTCTGTCCATCCCTGATACAGTCATTGAGAGGTTGGTATGTATAAAATCCATCTCTCATATTTATCCATGAAGAGTATATTTCATATATACATATTAAATACACATACATGCAGTTATTTGATTAGATCCTTAGCACCATACTATATATAATCTGCAGTTTGGTTTTACTACTTTTTTTTTTTTTTTTTTTTTTTTTTTTTTGGAGACAGGCGTGCTCCGTCACCTTGATTGGAGTGCGGTGATGTAATCATAGGTCACCATAAACTCGAAGTCCTGGTTTCATAGGATCTTCCCACATCAGCCTCTGGAGTAGCCAGGACTACAGGCATGTGCCACCATGCCTCTTGGCCTCAAGCAAGCCTCCTGCCTCAGCTTCTTAAAATGCTGGAATTAGATTTTATCATTCTAATTAAATATTTGAGGACTTTCAGTGCTGATACTTATGAAAGTTCTAACTTAATCCATGCAACATGTCAAAATTCTCTGTTTTCCACGTTTGCCAGCACTTACTCCTTGATTACTAGTAAGCTAAACTGTCTCTTTTTTTTTTTTTTTAAACAAAAGATTATTTTACTATCTCTTAACATATTCATTAGTCCTTCATATTTCTTTTGGGAATTAACAGTTTTCCTTTTTTCTGTTTTACACCATCAGGGGATTGACTGTTACTCCAGTATATGATGGGCATTAACTAATCATTCATTTTAATGATTTGTAACTATTTTATATTTAGATTGTATTTGTTTTCTGACATACCATTAAGCATTAACATTGATATTAGAATGCATTTTAGGATTTGTGACTGCAATTTATGTCTTTCTCGTGAGTGTAGAAGAGGTTATATCGTTCTCTGGAAATCAAGTGCTAGATTCTGGCCTGTGAGATTTTATATTATTTCATAATGTATGTTGTCCTCCTTTACTTTGGTCTTGAAAACAGAAAGTAGACTGACAGGTTTGTAAAATATTTTGTTTACATTAGAGAAAAAAGCAGAGATCGTGAAAGGGAACGAGAGCGGGAAAGAGAGAGAGAGAGAGAACGAGAGCGAGAACGAGAACGGGAGCGAGAGAGAGAGCGAGAGAGGGAACGGGAGCGAGAAAGAGAAAAAGACAAAAAACGGGACCGAGAAGAAGATGAAGAAGATGCATATGAACGAAGAAAACTTGAAAGAAAACTCCGAGAGAAAGAAGCTGCTTATCAAGAGGTAAGTTGAACAAATGCTTTCATTCTTATCTTGATATCCCTTAATGGGTTAACCAAAATTTATAGAACGCTATGTCTAAACTTTAAAAGCTTTCAAAATTTTAATTTTTTTAGCGCCTTAAGAATTGGGAAATCAGAGAACGAAAGAAAACCCGGGAATATGAGAAAGAAGCTGAAAGAGAAGAAGAAAGAAGAAGAGAAATGGTAAGATTCTAGGCCAAAGTAAGTGATTTTTCAGGTATAAAGTCAGATTATATCTTCACTGCTGACTACAAGTAACTTAATAATTGAAATGCGCACGCTTCCCTGTTCATGGATAATTTAATTTTTATGTATTTTGAGCATTTTGAGCCAATTTAAGTACACCAAAATCTTTTTTCCTCTTTTCAAATTTTTGCTGCATCCAAAGTTATCTTTCTGTATACCATCAAAGTAAATTTGTCATAGTAATATTTAAGTCAAAAAGTTACTAACTTATTTTTAAGAATCTGCATATTTTTAAAATTGTTGAACTGTTGCTATTAGATGTAATAGTTGCATTTCAAATTCCATAAGTTAAGAGTAAGAGATTCATTTTATCTCATGGATTGTTTGCTATCAGTTTAGAGTTAGGTAGGCATTAACCTTTAAATTGATTGATGAACATGATTTAAATTTCTGCGTTTCTTAAAAACTATTTCTTATAGTATCATCTACCTTAAAAATGGAATTAAAAAACATATACATACATACATGTAAACGTGTATATATATATATGTATATAGGGTTTTTTTTTTTTGAGACGGAGTATTGCTCTGCCATCCACGCAGGGGTGCAATCTTGGCTCACTGCAACCTCCTCCTCGCAGGTTCAAGTGATAAGCGATTCTCCTGCCTCAGCCTCCCGAGTAGCTGGGATTACAGGTGTGTGCCACCACACCCAGCTAATTTTTGTATTTTTAGTAGAGATGGGGTTTCACCATGTTGGCCAGGATGGTCTCAAACTCCTGACCTCAAATGATCTGCCTGCCTTGGCCTCCCAAAGTGCAGGGATTACAGGTGTGAGCCGTATTTTTCATTTAATAAGATAATCTCCAGTTTTGTTGGTGTGCTTAGGTATTGTATTTTGAAGATTATATTCAAAGAGCATATTTATTGTAGCGTAGTATATATATGTGGTTTGCATTTTACAGATATGTCCTCATTCGGACTTTTCTTAGAGGCAAAAAATTTAAAATGTCTAATGTGACTTATAATTAATATATGAAGTATATGAAAAATAAAATTTAAGGGGATCAGAAAAATCTTTTTTTTAACCAAAGTATTATTATCTTATGGCATACAGTGGTATTTTATACATATCTCATTTTACAGTAAAAACATTTTATGTACAACTGTAGAGAGAGAGCTGTGCAGATAGCTCCAACTTAAATTAGAAAATATTTTCTCTATAGAAAATAGTAAAAATACCATTTCCCAGTCTAGCCCAACAAGTTTATTTAAACCAAATAGCTGGATACATTATACATTTATAAATATGGTTTAAATTCTGGGATCCAGGAGAAACTTTAGTTTCATTTATTGAAACGGCCATGTTTTTCCTAAAATTATGTGAAGAGAAATTCCTATAAATCTTCCCCTTACTCTTGGTTAATGTCTGAGTCTGAAAAATCTGTTTACACGAAAAAGGGAAGGGTAATCTTTATTACTTTTATGTTATTTTTATACATTGTCCTTATTTCCTCAAAGGCCAAAGAAGCTAAACGACTAAAAGAATTTTTAGAAGACTATGATGATGATAGAGATGACCCCAAATATTACAGGTAAAGAAGGCTTGTTCTGTGGACTCATACTTGGTTTTTTATTAGCTGTATTTTCCCATATGCACAGTTGATGATGCAGGTTCACTAAGTGGAATAAGAAAACAAGAAACTTTCACATTCCGTGTAATAATTACTTCTATAGCGAATATACTGTTTTCTTGGGAGAAAAGACCTATCAGAAAAGTATCAACGTTTCTATGCATCTTTTGTGCAGTAGGGGAGCCCATGATAGTATTATATCAAATAATACTATTTTTATCTTTGTGTGTTGTAAATAGGTCTGATTTTTAAAAATTTTTCTTGATGTTTTTTAGAGACAGGGTCTTACCTTGGCTGGAATGCAGTGGCATGATCATAGTTCATTGTAACCTTGAACTCTTGGGCTCAAGCAATCCTCCCTTCGCAGTCTCTTGAGTAGGTTGGACTATAGGTGTGAGCTACCACACGTGTCTCCTAGGTCCAATTTTTATAGCAAGTTACAACTGATCTGTGTAACTATCTGGATTTGTCTAGAAATTTTGGTCTCCTAGCAATTTGACCTCTGTCTCTCACCCCATCTCCAAATTGATACATTATTGTGAAGTAAGAGTGTGACAACTGCCTTCTCTCATTCTTTGTTCCCATGGCATTTTCAAACTACTCTCATTCTAGTATTTATGACATTATGGCAAAATTGCTTGTTTTGCTCTTCCTTCCATCCAAACTGTAAGTTCCCTGGGGATATAGACAGTGTCTTGATACTATTTTATCTATAGTTCTGTTTTATCTGTAGTATTTTATCTAATTTGTCTGACATGATACAATCATAGTGAAGATATTTAATATAGTTTAATACAATATAGCCAAAATAATTAAAACATTGTAATTAGTTACTTAAATTTAAAGAGTGCCAGGGATTTGGCTTTGTAGAAAATGCCATGAAATCAGTAAAATTATTGAAGGCTAGAAGCATGAAGTGGCAATGTATAACGTCAACATTCTGAGAAGTAATGAACTGCTAGATAGGAGAGAACCTCTGCTTTCTGTTGATTCTGCACTACTTTCTGAGATTTTTTTTACAAGTGAATAAATTGAGGATACAGAACTCTCAGTGCTACTAATGCTACTTTATATATTTTTTTAGGTTGGTATCTAGGAAAACGAAAATTATTTGTTGGGTATTCCTTGTGAAATAGGCACAAAATGTGAGCTGCCTTTCTGAAAGCGACTATTTTACTTCTTTAAACATTTATTAGAATGACTTGAAGGATGAAGGGAACGTAGTGGTAAATGACAAGATAATGCTTATTTGTTATACATTTACAGGTAGAGAACACACTCTGGTGTGTTCTATAAATATGGAACATTAAGACATTCTTTTTTTTTTTTTTTTTTTTTTTTTTTTTTTTTTTGAGGCGGAGTCTTGCTCTGCCGCCCAGGCTGGAGTACAGTGGCCGGATCTCAGCTCACTGCAAGCTCCGCCTCCCGGGTTCACGCCATTCTCCTGCCTCAGCCTCCCAAGTAGCTGGGATTACAGGTGCCCGCCACCATGCCCAGCTAGTTTTTTGTATTTTTAGTAGAGACGGGGTTTCACCGTGTTAGCCAGGATGGTCTCGATCTCCTGACCTCGTGATCCGCCCATCTCGGCCTCCCAAAGTGCTGGGATTACAGGCTTGAGCCACCGCGCCCGGCCGACCTTCTTTAACCTCTTAGCATGCAGGTTGTAGTATTGAAAAGAGGTGCTGTTGGAGATGTCATGTGTACTGCTCAATGATCTGAGTATTAAATGAAGCCTTTTATCATTCACTTTTACAGAGGAAGTGCTCTTCAGAAAAGATTGCGTGACAGAGAAAAGGAAATGGAAGCAGATGAACGAGATAGGAAGAGAGAGAAGGAGGAGCTTGAGGAAATCAGGCAGCGCCTTCTGGCAGAAGGGCATCCAGATCCAGATGCAGAGCTCCAGAGGGTAAGATACTATACACCATCCACATGATTTTGTTTTAAGGTTATCATGTCATCTTAAAGCCAACTATGATGCAGTTTAATTTATAGTTAAGGGAAATGCATTTTATGCTCCATGTAACGTGCTATTTTGTGGAACGTTATTAGTACTTTAATTACACAAGTTGTGAGTATTAGTTGATTTACAACTTCATTCTAAACATCCTGCGGATGTCTTATTCATTTGTTTTCTATGTATGTCTTTTTTTTTTTTTTTTTTTAAATGGAGTCTGGCTCTGTCTTCCCAGGCAGGAGTGCAGTGGTGCGATCTCAGCTCACTGCAACCTCTGCCTCCTGGGTTCAAGTTATTCTCCTGGCTCAGCTACCGAAATAGTTGGGATTACAGGTGCCCGCCACCATGCCCAGCTAATTTTTGTATTGTTAGTTGGAGACAGGGTTTCACCATGTTGGCCAGGCTGGTCTACCTCAAGTGATCACTGGCCTCGGCCTCCCAAAGTACTGGGATTACAGCATGAGCCACTGCACCTGGCCATTCTATTGTATGTCTTTTTTTTTTTTTTTTTTTTTTTTTTTTTTGAGACGGGGTCTCACTCTGTCGCCCAGGCTGGAGTGCAGTGGCTGGATCTCAGCTCACTGCAAGCTCCACCTCCCCAGTTTACGCCATTCTCTTGCCTCAGCCTCCCGAGTAGCTCTCCCAAAGTGCTGGGATTACAGGCTTGAGCCACTGCGCCCGGCCTATTGTATGTCTTCTAATGCCACTTTGCTAGAATCTGTTATTTCTATAGTTGAACCTGTTCTTCCTATAATTTGCTCTGACACTTACTTTCTGTGATTTAAATTCCTTCTCTATTGCCATTCAAAGTATTTTGTTTTTATTTATTTATTTTGAGATGGAGTTTCACTCTTGTTACCCAGCCTGGAGTGCAATGGGCGTGATCTCGGCTCACTACAATCTCTGCCTCCCGGGTTTAAGCGATTCTCCTGCCTCAGCCTCTGGAGTAGCTGGGATTGTCTAATTTTTTATGTTTTCTTAGTAGAGACAGCGGTTCACCATGTTGTCCAGGCTGGTCTCGAACTCCTGACCTCAGGTGATCCACCCGCCTCGGCCTCCCAAAGTGCTGCTGGCATTACTGGCATGAGCCACCACACCCGGCCAGTATTTTGTTTTTAAAATAAAGCTGTTTCCTTTTTTGTTTTTTGTTTTGTTTTTTTTTTGTTTTTGAGATGGAGTCTCGCTCTCTTGCCCACACTGGAGTGCAATAGTGTGATCTCTGCTCACTGCAGCCCCTGACTCCTGGGTTCAAGGAATTCTTCTGCCTCAGGTACCCAAGTAGCTGGTTAGTATTAGGGATTACAGGTGCATGCCACCTTGCCTGGCTAATTTTTGTATTTGTATTTGTATTTGTATTTTTTTTGAGACAGAGTCTCGCTCTGTCGCTCAGGCTGGAGTGCAGTGGCCGGATCTCAGCTCACTGCAAGCTCCGCCTCCCGGGTTCGCGCCATTCTCCTGCCTCAGCCTCCCATGTAGCTGGGACTACAGGTGCCCGCCACCTTGCCTGGCTAATTTTTTGTATCTTTTAGTAGAGACGGGGTTTCACCGTGTTAGCCAGGATGGTCTCGATCTCCTAACCTCATAATCTGCCCGTCTCGGCCTCCCAAAGTGCTGGGATTACAGGCTTGAGCCACCACGCCCGGCCTGTATTTTTATTTTTATTTATTTATTTTTTTGAGACGGGGTCTCGCTCTGTCGCCCAGGCTGGAGTACAGTGGTGTCATCTCGGCTCACTGCAAACTCCGCTTCCCAGGCTCCAGGAATTCTCTTGCCTCAGCCTCCCGAGTAGCTGGGATTACAGGCATGCGCCACCACTCCTGACTAATTTTTGTATTTTTAGTGGCAACGGGGTTTTACCATGTTGATCAGGCTAGTCTTGAACTCCTGACCCCAAGTGATCCGCCCATCTTGGCCTCCCAGAGTCCTGGGATTACAGGCGCGAACCACCGTGCCCGGCCTTTTTTTTTTCCTGAGACAGAGTCTGGCTTTGTTGCCTAGGCTAGAGTGCAGTGGTGGAATCTTGGTTCACTGCACCCTCTGCCTCCTGGGCTCAAGTGGTCCTCAGGCCTCTACCTCCTGAGTGTCTGGGACACTTACAAGTATGAGCAGAGTACCTAACTTCTTTATACTTTTTTGTAGAGATGGGGTTTTCCTGTTTTACCCAGGTTTGAGCCACTGCCCATGTCCTTTTTTTTTTTTTTTTCTTTTTCTTTTTTTTTTGAGATGGACTCTTGCTCTGTTGCCCAGGCTGTAGTGCAATTCTGCGAGGCTCACTGCAACCTCCACCTCCCAGGTTCAAGCGATTCTTCTGCCTCAGCTTCCTGAGTAGCTAGGATTACAGTCTCACACCACCACACTTGGCTAATTTTTGTATTTTCCGTAGAGACAGGGTTTCACCATGTTGGCCAAGCTGGTCTCAAACTCCTGACCTCAGGTGATCTGCCTGCCGCGGCCTCCCAAAGTGCTGGGATTACAGGCGTGAGCCGCCACGCCTGGCTTTTTCTCTTTTCATAAAGACATTTTACAAGAGATAATGTAAAACAAAAATCAAGTTGAATGGTGTAGAGTTGTAGTTAATCAGATTATTGTTTTGGTTTTAGATGGAACAAGAGGCTGAGAGGCGCAGGCAGCCACAAATAAAGCAAGAGCCAGAATCAGAAGAGGAGGAAGAAGAAAAGCAAGAAAAAGAAGAAAAACGAGAAGAACCCATGGAAGAGGAAGAGGAGCCAGAGCAAAAGCCTTGTCTGAAACCTACTCTGAGGCCCATCAGCTCTGCTCCGTCTGTTTCCTCTGCCAGTGGCAATGCAACACCTAACACTCCTGGGGATGAGTCTCCCTGTGGTATTATTATTCCTCATGAAAACTCACCAGATCAACAGCAACCTGAGGAGCATAGGCCAAAAATAGGACTAAGTCTTAAACTGGGTACGTTAGTATTTCCTTCCGTCTTTATTTTCTTCCCTTCACCCCTGCAAATACCTGTATTGTGCTTTAAGGAAAAAAATATATATTTGTGCTTGGTTAGGTAGATAGAAGATTACTAAAAAATGCCTTTCTAGCTCACGATTGTTTTCATAGTTTTACTAGTGCTCCTATATCTGCAGCTGCCTCGAGTTCTGAGAAGAAGTGAAAAGTTTAATTTTCTAGCACTTGTGAGTAGTGAGTTATTTTTTACAGTTGGGATCTTTCTCTAAGATTTGTGGAAGTATATTTTGCATTGCTTTTGAGGGATGGTGGGTTGTAAAATGAAACATTTGGAAATTAAGTCATCATACTAAGAGAGTGTTTTTACTGTAGGTGCTTCCAATAGTCCTGGTCAGCCTAATTCTGTGAAGAGAAAGAAACTGCCTGTAGATAGTGTCTTTAACAAATTTGAGGATGAAGACAGTGATGACGTACCCCGAAAAAGGAAACTGGTTCCCTTGGATTATGGTGAAGATGATAAAAATGCAGCCAAAGGCACTGTAAACACTGAAGAAAAGCGTAAACACATTAAGAGTCTCATTGAGAAAATCCCTACAGCCAAACCTGAGCTCTTCGCTTATCCCCTGGATTGGTCTATTGTGGATTCTGTGAGTAGGAAATTATATTTCATCATGTTATTGGGAACAGTTGGAATATGCCATAAAAATTCATTTGAAAGAAAAAAAACCTCGTTTGATTCTATTAATGACAAATAAGTAGGGATGATCATCTTGACACCAACTCAATGCCATGGTCAAGAAATTAGTAATAATGGAAAATTTTTTGGTGGTACTTGAAGACTTATTAAAAGCAGATGATTGTATCTTGATACATATCTGTCTTAGTTCAACTTGTGAATTAACATATTTTAGTCTCAGGAAAAATCATGAAGCTTTAATAACTGTGATCGCAAGTTACAATTCTTTAATTCAGTAACCATGCTTTGTTTTGTAGATACTGATGGAACGTCGAATTAGACCATGGATTAATAAGAAAATCATAGAATATATAGGTGAAGAGGAAGCTACATTAGTTGATTTTGTTTGTTCTAAGGTTAGTCTTCTATTCTCTTCCATGCCAGCTTTTATTTTATATATTAAAATATTAGACACTTTTAAAAAGAGCAGAAATTTTACAGAGTCAAGTTGCATGATGGTTTAGGTTCAATTAAGTGATTTATATCTGCTTTTTAGAAGTTATTTTTATTTTTGGTGTGTTTCATTATTCACTGCAGTAGATGCAGATTTATGTCTGTTTTAATGAACCCTTCCATCTAACTTCAGACTCTGCATACCACGTGTTTTTCTTTCTGTGGGTTAAGGAGGGTGGAATTGCTGGTTACTGTCAATTGTGTGCTCTCTTTCTGCCCCTGAGAATGCTATGCCATCTTCTTCTTGTCTTGGTTAGAATAATTATGTTGAGATTTTATGGACATAGCCAGTAGCTTTTGCTATCAACTCCTTTGTCAGTCACCCATCCTTTGGATAGGATGAAAATAGTTCGTTTCGTATCATAGTAACGATCAGTGTTTATTGACTGACAGGCTGTGTTCTCGGCAGATATTGTGTTTTGTTTGTTCTTTTTTGTTGTTGCTGTTTTTTGTTTTGAGTTGGAGTTTTGCTTTGTCCCCCACGCTGGAGTGCAGTGGCGCAATCATGGCTCACTGCAGCTTTGAATGCCCAGCCTAAAGTGATCCTCCTGCCTTAGGATCCTGAGAAGCCGGAACTATAGGCACATGCCACCACACCCTGCTAATTTTTTTTTCTTTCTTTCTTTCTTTTTTTTTTTAATTATACTTTAAATTCTGGGGTACATATGCAGAATGTGCAGGTTTGTTACATAGGTGTAACATGGTGGTTTGCTACACCCATCAACCCATCATTTACATTAGGTATTTCTCCTAATGCTCTCCCTCCCTTAGCCCCCAACTCTGCGACAGGCCCAGCTGTGTGATGTTCCCCTCCCTGTGTCCATGTGTTCTCATTGTTCAGCTCCCACTTGTGAGTGAGAACATGCAGTGTTTGGTTTACACCAGGCTAATTTTTTATATTTTTAGTAGAGACGGGGTTTCACCACGTTGGCCAGGCTGGTCTCGAACTCCTGACCTCAAGTGATCTGCCCGCGTTGGCCTCCCAAAGTGCAGGGATTACAAGGCGTGAGCCATCACGCTAGCCGAAGATAAAGTTCTATAAAATGTTAGCAAAGTGGTGGCCCAAGCCTTGTAATTCCTGCACTTTGGGAGGCCAACGGGGCAGAACACTGGTGGTCACAAGTTCGAGACCAGCCCAGCCGACATGGTAAAACCCCGTCTTTACTAAAAAGTCAAAAATAGGGTGGGCATGATGGTGGGCCCCTGTATTCCCAGCTACTCTGGAGGCTGAGGCAGGAGAATCACTTGAACCCGGGAGGCGGAGGTTGAAGTGAGCTGTGATCACGCCATTGCACTCCAGCCTGTGTGATAAGAGTAAAGCTCTGTCTCAAAAAAAAAAAACAAACTTCTTTTAACATAACACTGTTAGAATGTGTCTGTCATGAATGTTATACCCATTTTATACATGAAGAAATTGAGGTTTAAGGAGAAGTTGTGTCTTGGCTATGTTGTATACTGAGTCTAGCCTCTGAAACCCATGCTCTTAACCACTAAGGTATATCTTCCCATTGTCTCCTGAAAACATAGTCTTAACTTTAATAAAACAGTTAACATAGTAGAAACACCGTATTTCTATAAAGGTATAGCTAAGGTATTTTTCTGCTAGCAGTGCTCTTTTGGTATGAACAGTAAATTTACTCTGCCTTCTCTAACTTGTAATTATTGTGGCATTAAAACTTGTGTCAAGGTCGGGCACGGTGGCTCATGCCTGTAATCCCAGTACTTCGGGAGGCTGAGGCGGGCGGATCACGAGGTCAGGAGATTGAGACCATCCTGGCTAACATCTTGGCTAACACGGTGAAACCCCATCTCTACTAAAAATACAAAAAATTAGCCGGGCTTGGTGGCAGGCACTTGTAGTCCCAGCTACTTGGGAGGCTGAGGCAGGAGAATGGCGTAAACCCAGAAGGCGGAGCTTGCAGTGAGTTGAGATAGCATCACTGCGCCTGGGTGACAGAGCAGGATTCCGTCTTAAAAAAAAAAAAAAAAAAACTTGTGTCAGATTTGACTTAAAATTAGACTACAGACGGCTATAGAGATTAAGATTCCAGGTTTTGGTGCCTCTTTCATTGAAGAATGATATTCTGAAAATTAAAACATTTATAGAATGGTTCCTTAGTCACAAGAAACTCCTGTCTGAATTTGAGGATTCATACCTTAAAATTTCTTGACTATATTGTTAATTTTATTTATTTTTAATGTGACAATTATTTTTCTCTTTTAGGTTATGGCTCATAGTTCACCCCAGAGCATTTTAGATGATGTTGCTATGGTAAGTTAGAAATTCACTATTTTTATTTCTTTTAATTAAAAAAAAAAAATTTTTTTTTTGGTCTTAAAATATAGATGGGGTCTCACTATGTTGCCCAGGGTAGTCTTGAATTCCTAGGCTCAAGTGATCCTCCTGCCTCAGCCTCACAGAGTGTTGAGATTACAGACATGAGCCACTACACCTGGCCAGAAATGCATTGTTATTAATATTTTAATTAACATCTATATAAACTCACTTTTGAATTTGATTCACTTCCTGCCCCTTTGTTCCAGAATCTTTTTTAGGCCTGAATTAAAACTTGAGGGGCTGAGTGCAGTGGCTCATGCCTGTGATCCCAGTACTTTGGGATACTGAGGCAGGTGAATCACAAGGTCAAAAGATCGAGACCATCCTGACCAACATGGTGAAACCCTGTCTCTATGAAAAATACAAAAATTAGCTGTACATGGTGGTGTGCGCCTGTATTCCCAGCTACTCGGGGAGGCTGAGGCAGGAGAATCACTTGTACCTGTGAGGTGGAGGTTGCAGTGAGCCGAGATTGCACCACTGCACTCCAGCCTGGTGACAGAGTGAGACCCCATCTCTAAATAAATAAATAGGGCTTTATTCTTTTCCACCAGTTCCATTCATGTTTTCCCTATGCCCAGCACAATGTGCTAGAAGCATAATGTAGAACAAATGACCTGTAGTAGCAGAGAGACAGATATACAGATACTGAAACCTTGATGTACTTGTTTGAATTAGATATGTAGAAACGATAATGGAGGTAGAGGAGATAGAACATCTGATGGCATTGATAGCAGTTAGATTAAGCATCACAGGGATTACCACAGAAACTGAGACATGTAGTTGTGTGTGTGTATGTGTGTGTGTTTTTTAAGTTGGATACATGTGCAGTTTTGTTATATAGGTAAACTTGTGCCTGGGGGTTTGTTGAACAGATTATTTCATCACCCAGGTATTAAGCCTAGTAGTCATTAGTTATTTTTCCTGATCCTCTCCCTCCTGCCACCCTCCACCCTACGATAGGCCACCTTGTGTGTTGTTCCCCTCTCTTGGTTCATGTTTTCTCATCATTTAGCTCCCACTTATAAGTGAGAACATGCTGTATTTGGTTTTCTGTTCCTGTGTTAGTTTGCTAAGGATAGTGGCCTCCAGTTCCATCCATGACCCTGTAAAGGACACTATTTCCTTCTTTTTGGCCACAAGGTTGTATATATATGCTGGTTTTTGGACAGGTATCCAAACACTTGTTGTACTGACAGTGAATGTCAAATCCTCGTTGCATTTAATTTGGGATTACAGTCAGTGGTAGCATGTAGTTAACACTGATTTTGTGAGGCAAGGAAAGGAGAAGATAATTGATGGTAAAGGTTGAGCAAGAGATTGAATGAACTATGATCTCCAAGTTAGGAAGAGAAGAAAATAATACCTGAATGGAGCTGGTGGTTTGAATGAATTAAGGACTAGTGGTTCCAGTGAAGTTGTGGAAGGTGAATTGTAATAAAACAACTGAAAGAAGAGGTTATGGTCAGAGTGTAGAAAGTTCAAGTCTGTGTGATAGGTCAGTCCAGACGATGGCAAGGTGCACAGTATGACTGTGGGAAATTCCTGGGTATTGGGAGTCAGATTGGAGAGAAATACTGGAAATAGTTGCCAGAGCACTCATTTAAGTGGGGGGAAGATAAGATACTTGCCAGATAGCTGCTCTTGCAATGGATAAGGTGGTGAGAGCTCATGAACGTCCATGGAGTTGTTATTTTTTTTGCCAAGAAAGAAACAGCGAAGACCCACCAGTCATTCCTGTGGAGACTGACATTGAGAATGAGAGACTGCCCGAGAAGTGCCAGGGCTTTAGGAGACAGAGGAGGTTTTCTGTTAAGAGGAAAACCCTAATTTAGTTGTTGGTGTGTAGTATAAAATAGAACAGGAGTCCAAAGGGCAGAGCGAGAAGGCAGCAATGGGAAGATGAGTAAGTAAGGATCATCAAACATGATATGAAATGGTAGATGACTGGCAGTACTTGCAGTTGGAACTGCCACCAAAGATGTCAGGGAGGGACATAGTGGGGTTTATAGTCAAAAAGAAGAATTGTGAGTTCAAGCTGCTTTGTGGCCAGGCATTTTATGGTGTCTAAAGCCAGATAACATTCTGGTTTTAGAATGTTATTCTGCTGCCTAGCTAGCTTGATGCAGCTGTCATTTAGAACACCTGATAAAACATTTGTGAAAACTTCATTGCCTCAGAGGAAAGGAGAAATGTGAATAGATTTCAGTCCTTAGGGCTGGATTCTGAACTTTCCTGAAGCTTCCAGCCCTGTTTTTCTTGGAATAGAGGGTGTCCTAGTTAGGCCTGAGTGAAGACATGTTTTAAATGAAACAGTGTTCCAGTGTTTGGCCTCAGCAGAGTTCCTATCACAGTAAAGATTACATGTCAGTGTTAATTTTAGATTTTTTGATCTGTTGTAATACATTGATATTTGGAGTGTATTTAGACCACTGTTTATGATTTTGTGGCTCATTGTTGATTAGAATGAGAGGAAACCAGTTGAGCTAGTGTTATCAAACAGCTCCGCTAAAAAGCTCAGGGGCCTTGTAAATATTTCTTGAATAAATGAGGAGACTGAATTTTTAGCCTGAGTACTGTTTTACTCTGAACAAAAGTCTGACTTCTTTCTATTGTATCCTTTTCATTTTATGTAAATTAAATGAAGTTTGGTTGCATTTTGTGCCTACATCTCCCTGAAGTGTGACTCAGATGTGGATTAGTGTTACAACAGAGTTCTTAAAACGAAGGTCAAATCTGGCTCATAGAAATCTGATCAAAAGTTCTTTAATTAATTGCCATCATTGAGAAAGCGACAAATTTCTTTTTTTTTTTTTTTTTAATTTCTTTTCTTTGTTTGTTTGAGACAGAGTCTTGCTCTGTTTTTCAGGCTGTATGGAGTGGCAGTGGCATGATCTTGGCTCATAGTAACCTCCACTTCTTGGGTTCAAGCAGTTCTCCTGCCTCAGCCTCCCAAGTAGTTGGGATTACAGGTGCCCACCTCCATGCCTGGCTAATTTTTGTATTTTTGTAGAGACTAAAATTTTGCCACGCCTGGCTAAATTTTGTAATTTTTGTAGAGATGGGTTTCACCATGTTGGCCCGGCTGGTCTCAAACTCCTGACCTCAGGTGATCTGCCCACCTAGGCCTCCCAAAGTGCTGGGATTAGAGGCGTGAGGCACTGTGCCCAGCCTTCTCCTAGGTATTTATGAAGTACTTGTTATATACCAGCCACTTTTCAGAGCACTTAACTACATACCATCTCTTTTAATTCCCACTTAGTACCTACTGCTATGGTATGTAGCTACATCCCCTCCGCTTTAGAGATGAGGAAACTGAGGCTCAGGTTAAGTAACCCAACCAAGGACCTATCGCTGAGTAAGAGGCAGCACTGCAGTTTGAACCTATGTAGTCTGACTAGAGAATTTGAACCTATGTAGTCTGACTAGAGATTGAGTACTCTAAATTCCTACCACAAGCCTCCTCTATGAAGACCTGGCAACTCTAGGCCACACTTCTGGAGCACAGTCATAGCTGCCCCCTTTAGAAGGGAGCAGAGTAGTCCATTTCACCTCACAGCAGCCATAATGTAGAGGGCCAGATGTGTGTATGGGATGATGGCAGGAATAGTGATGGGGACACAAGGACCCTAATTCACAAGTAGAGAGGAAGACAATTTCCTCGTCCACCACTGGAAGACTTGTTACTTAGTAGTCATGTGTGCCCCGTGATGATGATTGTGTTTGCTTATTCTGTTTACTGTATTCTGAACACTGTACTACTTATATCCTCATTTAATGTTCACTTTAGTGTCGAGTACACAATAAATGCTAGTTAAGATGGCACGGTTGGGCTGTGCACAGCAGCTCAAACCTGTAATCCCAGCACAGTGGGCAGATTGCTTGAGCCCAGGAGTTTGAGACCAGCCTGGGCAACACAGGGAGACCCTGTCTCTATTTAAAAAGCACAAAAATGTAGCCAGGAGTAGTGGTGCACACCTCTAGTCCCAGCTACTGGTGAGACTGAGGTGGGAGGATCACTTGAGGCTGGGAGGTCAAGGCTGCAGTGCACCATGATCACGCCACTGTACTCCAGGCTGGGTGACAAGAGAGATCCTGTCTCCAGGGGAAAAAAAAAAGTTTGTGAGGTTGTGTTTTGCGGGATAAATGAAATTCTGTATTGTTATTATGTAATTGTGTATTTGTTTAGTTCTTTTTAAATTACTATGTTCTTTATGAAAAGCATGTGGTTTCCTTGGGAAGTAGTTTTGTCAGACGTGTATAAATGCAGTATCTGTAAAGGTAAAATAAAAGAATAAAAGGGGGATCACAAAAATATTATACTGTTTGTGTTTAGTAAGCCATGGAATTTTGAATGTTTTTTTTGTTGTTGGTAATTTACATTTACTATTTATTTATTTAGAGACGAGGAGTTTCGCTCTTGTTGCCCAGGCTGGAGTGCAATGACATGATCTTGGCTCACTGCAACCTCCGCCTTCTAGGTTCAAGCGATTCTCCTACCTCAGCCTCCCAAGTAGCTGGGATTACAGGTTCCTGCCACCATACCCAGCTAATTTTTGTATTTTTAGGAGAGATGGGGTTTTGCCATGTTGGCCAGGCTGGTCTTGAACTCTTGACCTCAGGTGATCCGCCTGCCTCAGCCTCCTAAAGTACTGGGATTACAGGTGTGAGCCACTGTGCCCGGCCCATTTACTATTTATTAATAATACATTTCTCACACTGGACAAATTTTCTTTAAGTCATTTTACTGAAAGTAAAACTACTTTCTAAGGAAAACAAATACGTGTTATAAAGAACGTAGTAATTTAAGAAGAACGAAATATACAACTATGTAGTAACAATACAGAATCTCATTTATCCCCTCAAAACAACCTTAAAACTTTTTTTTTTTTTTTGAGATGGAGTCTTGCTCTGTCGCCTAGGCTGGAGTGCAGTGGCGTGATCTTGGCTCACTGCAAGCTCCACCTCCCGGGTTCACGCCATTCTCCTGACTCAGCCTCCCCAGCAGCTGGGAATACAGGCACAGGCTGCCACGCCTGGCTAAGTTTTTATATTTTTAGTAGAGATGGGGTTTCACCATGTTAGCCAGGATGGTCTCAATCTCCTGACCTTGTTATCTGCCCGCCTCAGTGTCCCAAAGTGCAGGGATTACAGGTGTGAGCCACCGTGCCCCACCACTAAACCAATCTTAACTAGCATTTAAGTAATAAGTGCTTATTGTCAGTGGATAAAAAACTTTATACTGGTCACTGTTGTTGGCAGATGTTGATGATTGCTTCTCTTACATGTGTTGCTGTTTTGTTTCCTCTTTAGGTACTTGATGAAGAAGCAGAAGTTTTTATAGTCAAAATGTGGAGATTATTGATATATGAAACAGAAGCCAAGAAAATTGGTCTTGTGAAGTAAAACTTTTTATATTAAGAGTTCCATTTCAGGTTTCTTCTTCGCCACCCTTTTAAGGACTTTGAATTTTTCTTTGTCTTTGAAGACATTGTGAGATTTGTAATTTTTTTTTATTGTAGAAAATGTGAATTTTTTGGTCCTCTAATTTGTTGTTGCCCTGTGTACTCCCTTGGTTGTAAAGTCATCTGAATCCTTGGTTCTCTTTATACTCTCCAGGTACAAATTACTGGTATGTTTTATAAGCCGCAGCTACTGTACACAGCCTATCTAATAATAATCTTGTTCTGCTGATTTGTTTCTTGTAAATATTAAAACGACTCCCCAATTATTTTGCAGAATTGCACTTAATATTGAAATGTACTGTATAGGAACCAACATGAACAATTTTAATTGAAAACACCAGTCATAAACTATTAACCACTCCCACTCTCTTTTGATCAGAAATGGCAAGCCCTTGTGAAGGCATGGAGTTTAAAATTGGAATGCAAAAATTAGCAGACAATCCATTTCTACTGTATTTCTGTATGAATGTGTTTGTGAATGTATGTGTAAAAGTCTTTCTTTTCCCTAATTTGCTTTGGTGGGGTCCTTAAAACATTTCCTAACTAAAGAATAGAATTGTAAAGGAAAAATGATACTGTTCCAACCTAAAATGTCTGTTATAATTAGGTTATTAGTTTCCCAGAGCATGGTATTTTCGTATCGTGAGCAATAGTCTGCTAACTGGATGGGGTTTTCTTTTTAATAAGCTGGCTGCTTCAGCTTCTCTTTTAAAGGAATGTGGATCATAGTGATTTTTCCCTTTAATTTTATTGTTCAGAAATGAGGCATATCCTAAAATACTGGAGAGTTGTATTTAATGCATTTTTGCACTAATTGGTCCTTAGTTGAAATCTGTTATATCCCTTTATTTAACAAAAAATTCATCACACCAAAAGTATAAGTGAAAACCCCCTTTAAAACAAAACAAAAAAATGAAGTAAAATTAGGCAAATTGACAGACAATGAGAGTTTTACAAACATGATAGGTATTCTGCTCGGCAATTTGTAAGTTTACATCTTATTTAAGGATAAAGGTAAATCATTCAAGGCAGTTACCAACCACTAACTTTTTGTTTTCATTTTTGTCTTGTAGAAGGTTTATATCTTGTTTTACCTTGGCTCATTAATGTTTAAAACTATACTGATGATGTGCTGAGAGAAATTCCTGGGGCTTTCTTTGTTGTAGATCAGAATTTCACGAGGGAGTAAAATTACCTGAAAATGTAACAAGTTTTAAACAGCTTTTCACACAAATTAGATGCAGCTGTTCCCATGTCTGAATACTTATTTAAAAGAAAGGTAAAGATTGGCCTGTTAGAAAAGCATAATGTGAGCTTTGGATTACTGGATTTTTTTTTTTTTTTTTTTAAACACACCTCGAGAGGACATTTGAAAACACTGTTCTTACCCTCGAACCCTGATGTGGTTCCATTATGTAAATATTTCAAATATTAAAAATGTATATATTTGATCCTGGGGACTCATGTTCTTTCAGAATCATGTAAATAAATGGCATCATGTTGTAATTGTGTGGTGCATACTAGAAAACTTAAAAATATGGGCTGAATTTTTTATGGACTTGATTTTTATGACTATTGGTATCTAAAGGTCAAGGAAGCCATTTACATTATTTTGGATGAATCTACTATACATCTATGGAAATGCCTCTTTTTTATTTTAAATTCTGGTTTCTCGATGGAAAATTTCAGAAAAGATGCCCCTTGCCATTTTCGTTTATTTTTCAGTCTTTTCTCAGACACACCCCCAGCCTAAGACCTTGTTCGAGCAGTTTATTGTGTCTGTCTTTTCTTTTTGGTTTTCTTTTTTGTTGTTGTTGAGACGGAGGCTCGCTCTGTCGCCCAGGCTGGAGTGCAGTGGCCGGATCTCAGCTCACTGCAAGCTCCGCCTCCCGGGTTTACGCCATTCTCCTGCCTCAGCCTCCCATGTAGCTGGGACTACAGGCGCCCACCACCTTGCCCGGCTAGTTTTTTGTATTTTTTTAGTAGAGACGGGGTTTCACTGTGTTAGCCAGGATGGTCTCGATCTCCTGACCTCGTGATCCGCCCGTCTCGGCCTCCCAAAGTGCTGGGATTACAGGCTTGAGCCACCGCACCTGGCCATGTCTGTCTTTTCTTAACGTACTGCACAGTTGCTGTTTCTAAGGCATCATATTATGTTGTTTTTATTTAGCCACTATTAACATGAAGGTTTATTCAGGTAGATTTGATTTTCTTTGCTTGGTTTCTTCTCCTGCTCTGTCAACTATACTTATCTTAAAGGGCCACTCTAAAAACAAGGGAGATCTCTTAATCTGAAACCTTTGGGGAGATGTACTGTGTACTGCATAACATCTCCAGTGAGGTTTGCGGCAGGACCTCAACTAAATATATGAATTTGTACAAGTTCGTATATTAAAGTTTCGGCAGCAGAGTGAAAATTGTTATAATAAATGTGGTAGAAACTGTTAATCGCTTAATGCCAGTTTAAATCATGTTTTGTAACCAAGCTTCAGTAAAAGCCTTTAGATTGTCAGAGTTGCTTGTTTTTTAGAATTGTATATATAAAGAATTAGCCATTAAACAGGCATATTCTAGTGTCTGGAAATACACATCAGAAATTTCTATTAAGTTGCTTGAACTTTGTGGGTTAATTTTACCATAAACCCATGAATTAATTTTAGTTTGAAAACCTTATACAGTATGAATTCGTTTTGCCCTTTCAAATTGTTATATAAAGAGCATGAAAATCTTTTTTTGGTGTTTTTTTCTTTTTGGTTGGAGGGAGGGTGTTTTTTTTTTTGTTTTTTGTTTTTTTTGTGTGTGTGTGTTTTTTTGTTTTGGTGATACGGGAGTTGTGCTTTTGTCGCCCAGGATGGAGTACAATGGCATGAGCTCGGCCCACTGCAGCCTCCGCCTCCCGGGTTCTGGAGACTCTCTGCTTCAGTTTTCTGAGTAGCTGGGATTACAGGCGCCCAACACCACGCCTGGCTAATTTTTTGTATTTTTAGTAGAGACAGGATTTCACCTTGTCGGCCAGGCTGGTCTCGAACTCCTGACCTCAGGTGATCCACCCACCTCAGCCTCCCAAAGTGCTGGGATTACAGGCATGAGCTACCTTGCCTGGCCAAAGCATGAACATGTTAAGAACCAGTCTTGATCTGGCAGTTAGAATACTACTTTTCTTTGTCCCTAAAAACAAAATAAAGTATGTACATCTGTTTACAAGGAAGAAAGGTAAGTTTGAAGTTGTTTTTCTTAAACTTTAATGTGACCCCAAATCATCTGAGGAGTGCTTGTAGAAATAGAGACACTGAAGTAGCAGAGGTGGGGTGGCGCCGCAGGCTTTGTTTGCATTCCTGGACAGCTCCCAGCGAATGTCATTGCCTGCTGATCCAAGGACCACATTTTGATTAGCACTTTAAGGTGTCTATTCAATATTATTTTATCCTAACAGACTACATAAATGCAGCTGAATTTTCCTTTAGGTAGATTTTAAAGAGGAAAACATTTTTTGAGGCAAATATACATAATTATATTCATGAACATAATCTTCCATAATTATGCCTGAGAAAACCCTAATATTCTAGGCTTTCTTTCTAGCCAGCCCTGAAAATTTTTTCTGTAGATAACTTTATGTTGTTACTTATTCTGAATCTTATTATAGCACTTCCCTGTGAACTATGTAAGTGTAAGCTAATGATTATTTTGTGAAGAGTGCTGTTTCAGGTTTTAATCTGGCATGAATACCTGATAGACATTTAGCTTGAGAGCCAATTTGAACTAGACACTATCATTTTTTTCTCCTTTTTTATGGAATCAATTTAATGCAAATAAGTATAAGCAGGTATACAATGTTTAGATGAGGCTTATTTTCCCAACTCTTTTTAACAAGTTTTATGATGGCCCCAATTTATACCCAAAAGACTGCGGAGAGGTTTTATGTCAAATTGATTACAAACTTCTCTGGGTTGTATTTCAGTCTTCTGTTAAGTATGAAATTGAGAAATAGTTTTGCTCAACAAAAGATGGTGAATTCATTTATGACTGTCACTGGAGATTAAAGGGTATGAGAAGGAATCCCAAGCAGGCAAAGAAACAGTCTAGCTGTCAAGAAGAAAACAGGGAGATAATACCAAACCCAGGAGCTACTAATGTAACAATCATACTACAGACCGAAGTGAACTCACACTTTTTGAGAAACTGATAGATTTTTTATAATGCGATTATAGTAAAATACTGAAATATTTGTTAATTTATTTGCATTTGAATGCTTACATTTTTAATTGACAGAATCTTTGCATTTCATTACTTGAGTCATGAAGGCCAAATTAAAGAAAGGCAGTCTAAAATACCCAGGAAAAATAATTTCTAGAAACAAAAATAAAAATTCTTTTCAAGCCATGTTTGAATTAAATGTGACACTCCTGAGTCTGTCTACTCTTTTTTTTTTTTTTTTTTTTTTTTTTTGAGACAGCATCTTGAACCCAGGAGGTGGAGGTTGCAGAGAGCCAAGATTGCGCCACTGCACTCCAGCATGAGTGGCAAGAGCGAAACTCCATCTCAAAATATATATATATTTCTGGTAGCTGGTCATCTCATGGTGGCAAAAAAAATTACACAAGGAGTTCAGGAACATCAATTGACATAAATACAAAATACTGTATGAATTATCAAATGTGATGAGCTAACTGAGAGGAAATGGGAAATAGGAAGATTCTCAGTGGAAGTAGTAATGTGGAAGGGGCCTTAGAGGTCACGTAGTCTATTTTGCCCATTGTAATTACATTTTTTAAATAAACTTTTTGTTTAGAGACAAGGATTCCCTGTAAAACTGGAGTGTAGGGGCACAATCATGGCTCTCACTGCAGCCTCAAATTCCTGGGCTCAGTGGTCTTCCTGTCCCAGCCACCTGAGTAGCTAGGACTACAGGTGCATGCCACCATGCCTATTGTGTGTGTGTGTGTGTGTGTGTGTGGAGATGAAGTGTGTTGTCTAGGCTGGTCTCAACTTCAAACCTCAAGTGATCCTTCAGCCTTAGCCTCCTAAACTGCTGAGATTACAGGCATAAGCTTTTTTGATAAAGGAAAAACTAGTGAGCATTTCACATTGTAGAATCCAAAACCATGAAAGTTAATTTTTTTCCTGTCAATTTACTGTTTTGTAAATGTACCCAGGTGAAGAGACTTGTCTGACTGTTACTGTAGATAGAAAAGTACCAAAACAAAGTTTTATTTTGTTCAATATACTGTTGAGGCAAGTTTCTAAATGAGAGGGCCCAGGTTCTTCGTTAAAAAAGAACTTAGAATTAACAAAACAGTGACAAACATTTCCGGCAGTGTGCCTCAGAGGGGGCACCAGCTGTAGGGGTCTGCCCACAGACCCTGACCCTGCAACGACAGATGAATAAAATACACTGACACACAGATACTCTGGTTTGCCAGTCCAGCTGAGGGTGTCCCACCGCTTACAGACTCCCTGGAGAGTTGGGTAAACAGTTGCAACTAGGCCTCAGTCAGCTAGTGAGACTTGTATTTATTCAGTAAGACTAATTAACAAAGGCTTGAGTCAACACCATTAGAAGGACTTCCCAAGTGAAAAGCACTTAAGCACCAGAGGTACATCTAAGATTAGTCTTAGGATCATATGAGTAAACAAACTAGGTAAACTACTCTGCCTTCCTTTATTACTACTTTAATTTGTTTCAAACGAAAGATCAGGTTGCCTTCAACCATATCTATTATGGAAGCTATGCAAACTTCTCCGCCTTCCGAGAATTGTGTCTGTAACTATCTTTAATGTTTTTCCCACCAGCCTGATTGAATCCCAACACATATTCAGAACTTAAGGCTAGAATAAGATGAAGATATGGCAGCCCCTGATTTTAAGCAGATTCCAATCTAAGGAAACCCATACTTGCAAAGAATTCAAATGACGTGAGAGTTAATAAGATAAAATGTGGCTATGCACCAAGCCCTGACGGCAATATTTAATCCCATAACAATTCCGCTTTCCTCCTGTATAAGAAGCATGGCAGCGACATTGTGCATAAATTAAGGCAAACTGTTTTCAAGTGAAAATGTTAATGAGGTAGATTCCTTTGGAATCATTAGTATGAAGAGCTGGTTTTTGTTTTCCCATTGCCTAGGTCCTGACTTTAGTAGTGACTGATCTAGCTTTTCTAGTCTAACAACCCTCTCCCCCAAGTAATTCTTCCATGCCCTGCCCTTCAGCTTCATCTTTTACCAGTAACTTACTATTGGGTTTTACCACCATTTATTTCATCATTCACTTATCTGTCCCTCTTCCTAAGTTACAAACGCTTCTGAAGCAAATGGAAATGCATCACTGCAGAGTCTAGGACCTTTAATGTTATTTGGTCATTTACTTTTCTCACACTGCAGCTTTTGCTCTTTTCAACCTTCATTCCTAGGTATTGAAAAAATACTGAATGATCAGAAGTGATTTGATTTTCCCCTCACCTGGTAAATAATCCTTTTCTTTCTTTCATTTATTTATTTATGTATTTT